TTTTTGTCTGCTTTGCCCCCAGATTGGTGCCCCTGAATCTACAGAGAGGATCCTGGGCCATACTGACAAAATCCCACCATTTCTTGGCCCACAAATAGGGAAATTTTTCATTACAAATCCAAATTACATTAACCGTTTTATTTTTCCGAAGCATTGATTTTGTGCCATGCCTCAAAAAATAATGAAAAATGTGTTTTTTAAATTACCGCCAAATTTTATTTTTCAACTAAAAAAAAATAGTGTTGCCAAATTTGATCAATATCTATTAAAAATGAGTTTTCGTGGTTATAAAAACTAGATTCATATAAACTAAAAGACTGTCCTAATTAGTTGATTTCACTCAAAAACTGGGAATCCGCCGGATAAAACTTTTTTGTAAAGTTTAAAGTTTAAATATGAAACAATTTTTTGCGCCAAATCATGAGAATGCACACATATTGTAATGGAAAAACATGTCACATAGGCCTATCTCATCTAATAAAACTTAATTCTTAGAGTCAGGAATTATTGCTTTGTCAAGCGTTTGACAAATGACAGGATACCCTTTCACCATACTCTTGTACGGGCAGACTTTGAGTAACATTCTTGTACCGGCGAGTCACGGGTCAAGTGCAGTCGTGTATGTCTATTTACAGAACATGCGTACCCTTGACCTTTACCCGTGCATGCACATATGGTGGGGCGGACGCGACAACTTTGACGTCTCGCTACCGCACTGGAAGTGATGAACAGGAAATGTCACCGATTTAACGATTCTGCCTTATGAAAATTCGAACGAAATCGGTACAATCTAACAGAGAATCGTCATCCTCGTGTTGGATGTACTATTTTGGTCATAAAAATGGATACAACAATGGCTTTGAATTTTTATACACCAGTCGGTGATTCAAAAGAACTGTTTTTTTGTTTTTTTTTTTCAGGTTTTATCCGGAGAATACGGCCGTTTCACAATAGTGCGCCACCAAGAGTTTGCAACGCGTTGGCCAATCACAATGCGCGAAATTCGTCGACCCAATGCGCGTTTGGAAAGGGTCGACAAATTTCGCGCGTTATGATTGGCACACGTGTTGCAAACTCTTGGTGGCGCATTATTGTGAATCGCCCGTATTCAAAATAAATGCTTGAAATCAATGCATTAAGGGTTAATCTTTCTTCTTTTCAGAAAACTTATTTTCTATTAAAAATTGATTGATGAAATTAGTGCGAAATGGTGAAAAATGACAAAGGAATGTTTTTGTTGGGATTCATTTGAAGAGATTCTGACTTGAATAGAGCCTAAAAGTATAAAGGTCACGCAGCGAGCTTCCAGAACCCTCGCGCTGTCCGCCTATGGGTATTTTATCGAAAGTGATAAAACGGTCCAAAGTAATTTTTGGAAGAATAATTCCTAATTAAAACTACCCCATGAAACACTCATGTTGGAATTTTACGTTTATCTTCCTCAAGTAGTATTCAGGAAAAGTCACCTACAGAGGGGTAAAAAGCGAAGTTTCTCAATGACCTTTCACGTTCGGCGATATCGACGTCTGCATGTTCGTGCACGAATTGTTTTCACTACCTGTATACAGAAAACGAAATTGTACAACGTTGCAAAGATTTACCTACTTGCAGTCGATGGGTTCCAGATTCCGTTGAGTTGGCATCACGCAGTTGTTGTCAACAAAGGTTAGATAAAATATTAGAATGTTTGTAATTGAAGTAGAAGAGTGGTTTAAGTTTATTACCTGATGATTATGAAACTGTATCAAATATTTTGATCTGTTTTTATGTCAGCTTGTACTGACGGACTACCATGACATTTCAAACTGTTAATGTTCATCTTCGTACGAGACTGCCTCTTTGCACTGTTCTTTGTGTATTTTAGATTTTCGGAAGTGATGGGTCAATTTTTGGCAGGATATTTTTCTTTTAGGTACGGTGATTTTTGAGTTTCTATAAATTGATATAAAAGAAAATATTTCCCAAAGCCACTTTTCCGAGTTGGATTTTTTAAAAGAAGTGACTGAACGAAAACATATTACAAATTCTAAAATCTGTGCACGTTATTTTTCTATCCAAGGGTTCCAGAAGCGCGCCATCAGGGGTCAACTTTCAGGCTCTGTTACTTTAGCCGTACAAGAGGGCACTGTGTTAAAACCAAATTCAGAGCGATATGGATTCTATCATGCATGACTATTACATCCATCCTTTGAGGAAAATATGCTCGTAACGCACATGTAATAAGTATCTATTTCGCTAACCTATTCTGAGACTTGGCACATCAGTCTCATTGATAATCAATCATTTAACTGATAAATTTATGATTCTGTGAAATATTGAAGTTTTAATATTAAAGTATTAAAGTCTTTTTTTAAACTTCTGCCTCACATCAAAATTATAAACATAATACTGTAGTATCTAACATTCTTCTGGCGGGATTTCTTTTTTTCAAAATCGTTTTTGCGATCAGACCTTCACCCTCATTAACCCTTAACCGCCCACTTTAACCCTCAAAGAGCCTGGGGGCAGAATCCCCCCCCCCCGTTGATTTTTGCTTATAGCATCTCCGGGATTAGCTTCTGTGTGCTAATACTTTATGACAATTTTTTTCCAATTAGCCTCATTTTGACCCCAAATTTATGAAAATTGGACGTGGCGTTCTCTCTCAGTGAAGAATTTTAGGAGGCAGGGTGAAGTATGATGTGAAATTTACCATTGACATTGTACAAAGGGCGGAGTGGTTTCCTTTTGTCAGGAAGTTTCTTGCTTTGGGGAAGGTCTATCGAAATGGCTTAATTGGCCATTTATTGATAAATTATAATGACGATTTTAATGACATTGATACTAATTAGTATTATGTCTACCCTAAATTTATTATACACGTACTTGCAATTAGAACAAAAAAAAGTCATGAATAATTAATGAGTCATAATTATGCAAAAACTCAATTAATTTGCATATAATTTCACACAGATGATTAGTATATGTATGCCTCTATGACACTGCCAAATTTCATTCAAATACATCATCTTATGGCTGGGATTTGGGGGGGCTTCTTCCGCCCCCCCCGGCTGTAACAAGGTAGGAAAAAAAGCGGCTCTTTGAGGGTTAAGAAAAATGCGATTGTTTGTGTACCTTTTTCTAAGTAAAAGTCTCAATAATTCAGCAAGTTTGATTGGTTAAGGGTTGTCACGTACACGTGTAGACATGGTTGACGAATGGATAATGAATTCACAGTGTATGCGCCTCTTTAATTCAAACAGGGCACTAAAGAACTGCACGTCCATTAACAACTCCCATGTCGTTCAACCATCCCCCGACCCTCTATCTGAAGCTATCAAGTTACTCCGCTCCAGGTACAACATGCAGAAACAAAAGCAGAAATCTTGCAAGAGCATTGTGTCCACTGTATCATAAAGTTGACCTCTGTTTGAGAAGTATTGAACACGTAACACATTGTACAAGTTAAAGGTAAAACGTTGCAGCTCATGGTGAATGACAACTTGAAGTGGAAGGATTATGTTGGGGGTTTGAGAGGTCATTTTGGGGGGAATTGATTGCACTAGGTTGGCCTAACACGGAAAATCTTCCCTTTGGCTGTCAAGAGCAGACAAGTTCAGCCCCCCAAAAAATGATGCAAGAGGCTTTTTTTTTTTTAGGGTAAGCTTGAATTGGCACCAGCGACTGCCCCTACTCTAGTCAGAGCAGGCCGCTTAGGGACCGTTAACGACCTATAAATACCTCTACTGGTGTTTAAAATATAGGACGGGCATGCAGCGTGCAGGAACAACATACAGGCACTGCAGTTATATTCAGTTCATGTTGCGGGCCAGGATTCCAGCCCGACTCGCGCGCGAGCACACCACATGCATGTGGGCCAAGCGCAGGCCAACGACGTGGATAGCTTTACCGACGTGTGCCGGAAATTTCTAGAAGAGAAGGCCGCGATTTCTGCCTGGTCTGGAAGGGGAAGAACATAAGATTTATTCTGTAAAGTTTGTGGCATCCTTCGCTTGCATATTTGTGTGCCACGATTGTGCCAGGATTGATGTGATACAGGGCCACGTACGGTAAGCGCATCATGGACGGCCTTATAGAATACACCGCGGCGAGTTGACAGTATATGCACCGCCATGACAGTCACAATCGTTTAAGTTTGTGAGCCAAGGTGAAGGTGAGTGCGAATCACTAGTACTGATGAGGCCATATGCACTTACAGTAGCACGTTTTACGTCAAGCTTGATGGGCGTGGCTCGGGTTGGGATAAGAGGTGTGCATGTGGTAAAAACTGTGTATACTCATCTGTTTGTAACACACCTCAACTACACAACCATCTCAGAGCGGGTTAGTGTAGCAGATCTTTCCTCGCTTTGCACCTACCAATGAGGTCCGGGTTCAAGTCCCAGCTTGGCCCAGGCTTTAAGTGCATTTGGTTTCCAGTAGGTACTCGCTCTCGCAGGTTTTCTCCGATTACTCCGACGGTTTCCTCCTCCCTCTAAACCAGACCTTCTTCCTAACTCCGTAATGTGATAAACGTATAGTAAATGACGCGAATAGCCCGAGTAGCTGAAAACGCCATTATGACAAAACATAACAACCAACTTGGACAATACTGCATCTTTAAGGGTAGGCCTACTGTTTTATATTAGTATAGGCTTTTTTCACTCGATCGTAAGTACAATGTAGAATCACATGCAGTTGTATCACTGATTTATTCCTGAATATCTTTCCTGTATTGGAATGTATGAACAACAAACAACACATGCTTCTGTTAACTGGAAACAAAATGTTCAAAATTCAAACAACGCACGTGCACCTTTATAGTCTGACCTTTAGTTCACACGCAGCGTGGAGTTAACACACAAGAATATTAAAATGCCTACCATATAATGTATATGGTTTACAAAATCCATTCTGTTACTTCACAGACGCGAACTTAACTTCGACAGGGTGGATCATGAGTCGGTTTGCCCAAAGATTGTAACAGGAAATAGCCGTTGAGACCGTGTTCAGTTAACGGTGTTCACGCACGTACGTAGAAGTGAGTCGCTAGTGCCCCGGCAGTGCCCGGCACATTTTTGGCGCGCGCCACATTCTCAAGATTTTTCTTCCACTCCAGCGCGCGAAACCAAATCTCATCTGGCTACTTTTATCTTTCCACGGTGATTCAAAACACAATTTACGGGCCAACAGCGACGGGTACATAAAGTAGTCTGATCTTAAGCTCGATGAAATTATTACTAAATTGTTTATCATAAATCAAAGGACGATTTACCAGCTAGATATTAATAAATGATGCGCCCGAGAATCTTAGGACTCATTCATGAAACGGAATGCATTTTAATGTTTTATAATATTTATGGTTTCTCTCTCCCCCAGCGCCATATAATCTCATAGAAAACACGACACATAGTCAAGCTATGTCTTGTCTTGGCCTATATTAGCCGTAGAATTGAACCTCCCTAGAAACAGGAAGTCATGCGTTCTAGTCCCACGTTTGATGACCTGATGTATCATTGACCATTTTGTGACTGGAATACAACGAATAGATCGTTCGATGTCCCAATAGTCTACAACATAGACTTGGAATACGATGTTTCATTTTCGTTATTCTATATGAGCAAAAAGAAAAAAATTGTAAATGTTTCAACTTAATAATCGTGTGACGTTTCTTTCACATCATCTCCCATACATTTACTGCATTGCATATGAATTGCGACAGTGGCCAGTTGAAATAACTACAATATTAATGAAATAAAGTTTTCAAAATTTATTGCCTCCCCATCTCCAGGGCAGAACTCTGCAAGATGACGATGACGCTGTCAAAATGCTTTCCACAAATATAACATACCTTCAATGAAGGTCTCCAAACATGTCCTCAGAGTACACAGATTGCAGAGTGAAGTAACTTTAAGCAAGGTTTCCTCATGCTGTCTCTATCTGTCATTATGTCAGAACACATTGCAGATTTCTTTACTCCCTAAGGCGATGTTTTGGGGGAACGTCAAAACAAACGACTCAAGCAAATCGACGACGAGATACAAACACTGTACCAGTTCGCAAAATGGGTTTTGAAAGTAATGCCCTGATTGCCATTTAATGAATTCTGTTGCCATTGGGGTAATAATCAGTTAGCCGTCGTTTCAAATTAATAAGGTTGGATATAAGCGAATTTGATGAAAGCCATATTTAGTTGTTTTGTCAACCTACATTTCTTTTCCTAGAGAATGGTGTCATTTTTTTCCAAATGGCGAATGGGGATTCTTATGTAGGCCTTTATCGTTTGATGCGCATCGGACTGGTTTTGGGTTTTTCAGTTGAAAACAAAGAAATTAGTGTAAGCCTACAATTTAGGCATGTTCTGGGCATTATTCTTCTTACGGCCTCCCCATTTTGCCGTTATCATATGGTAATGTTTTTATTGTCAGTGTCCTTTCTGTCATTCACACGGTCCTGGCTGTCGCAGTTGACATTATCGTCTCCAGTTTCACATCTTTTAAAGTGCCTGAGACTGTATAGCTTGGCAGAACTTATGATGCATTCATCAGATGGAACGCTGCAGTCAACAGTAGCCTCGTGTCACCATGGAGGAAGGACACAGAAGGAGTTGTATCGCACGCACTTCAGAGCGCCCAATGATGGTCGCCGCCGCGTCTGACGAATAATAAAAAACGTTCCAAAAATGCCTTATTGCTGCCTGCATCTTAGCCAGACAAGCGGGGCCAGTAATATCCTGGCAATACTTGTAGTTTTTTGCTTGCAATTAAATACAAACTATCGATGTGACCAGGAAATAGAGAGAGAAAAATTCCTGATATTAGACCTACGTTTGCCATCATAAATGAACTTTTAAAATTTTGACACACTGTTTCACTATCCATGCAATGTTTGTAATTCTAGTCTCCTCCGTCCAATACATCAGTGTTCAAAGAATAGGTACGAATTTGGCTAAGACTGGCCATCAAAATCTTCACTACTTCTGGAAAGCTCAGTTCATTAGGAACAAATGCGCTATTTCATCACAGGGAGTGATCGTGAAATCTCATAAAATACGCCTTTGTAAAAATGCCATAATAAAAATTATTCAAACAAAACACAAAATCTTACAAAGAGCTTGGCTATTTATTCCAAAAAGAAGTCCAGAAGAAAGCGTTCGATAAGGGCAACAACTGCACATGAACACTTCGGGTACACAGCCTATTAAAAGCAACTACGCAAGCACTAAATTTGATGTTGTTGTCGGATCATATCAAGCACCAACGATGACATGAATATTCAACTTCCTATACTGCAGTACACAACGTTTTAGGGATGCAGATTATCAACGAAAAATTTCGGCGACGATCATAGGGTACAAAGAGGGCTTATGGTTGCAAAACAGGTGGTGAGTAGCAGGCGTGCGCTGCGCTCTGGCTATGGACATACCGGGTATTCCAGAAAGCGGTATTTCAAACTCCTTCTGTGTCCTTCCTCTATGATGTCACCGAGCACAAACTTCCAGATTTTCTGTTGTGCAAAATATGTGTGCATCGATTCGTTAGCTGTTAAACGACACCGATTCATCGTTTGCCCAAACATGTCTTAAATCAAGACAGGGCGACGACCCTTGCAGAACCAGAAACGAGCTGACAACTGGAGCTTATCACTTTCATTGAGTCATAAACTATCACTGATGACAGCGCCTGCCAAGCATTTCCAACCTTTGCAACCTCGTGTCTTCTTACTTGGTGATTAAGGTCGTTGCAAGTCTTCACAGACCTTATACATTTGAAATACAGTGCTTGTTTATTGCACTTGTTTTTGTTTTTCCTTGTAGGTTATTTGCTTGCATTGCTTGTTGTAGCTGTACTTGTCCACAGATTGGGGACAAGAAGCTTCGCTTCACCCCATACCTATAAGGCCAATTTTTTGACTACGGATTTTCTTGATTTATAATAAGTACCTGTCACTCCAGTTTATTATATATGCAGTTATCGAACTTATTTTGTGTGCTACTTATTTAGAAAGAGCGTTGAATATAATTTTAGTTTGTCTAAAAGAATTGCTTCTTGAGTGTTCTTAAAACGCCATTTATTAAAGCTTGGCTTCTTGTGTACTGTGTTGAGTATTTATGCATTTATTACTGCGTACATGTACATGGTATAATTAAACCAGGCAAGCATGATGTCCGTATACATGTACAAGTACATCGCAACCATGGGCGGTTCCGCCGCGCCGCCCTGATCACTCTTGTGTGCAGTCTGTACAGAGTCTTTTTTACAACATTAATTGTCCGACTATCACAAAGGACAATATGCAGAGCTATTTTTGAAGCTGCAGACGGATCATAAGCTGACACAAGGCTGAGTTTTCACAAAGGCATCTGGTCGGGCTTTTGCATAGTAATTATTTGGCTGCATCCGAATCTGTTGTCTGGAGCCAAGTCTAGGTCCTCGCCCCATTGGAAATAGGCGGAGACACGCTGACAGTAGACGTAGCCGTAGCTCTGAAAACCCGCTTCGGACACCGTCTTACATCCCCTTAATACTAGAACTGCGAAGCATCGTTGTCGATAGAAAGCACTTCCCTGTTAGTATGGGACCAGAAAGACAGACCTCTTGTTTTCAGACTGGTCCCCCCCCCACTGAATTGTCAGATACAGTGGATTGAAGGAACCAGGAACCGACTTGAATATAGCTCTTGGTGAAATACTGTGTCCGAATAGACAGATTGCACCTGCTAAGTCACGTGACCTGTAGTGGTATCAAAAATCAACAAACACGTCCCCCCGTAGCGAAATGTGTCATAAGTGTCATTTACAAAACAAATAAAGCCAACAGTCGGTGCAATACTCAGAATACTGGTCGGCTGCGTACAAAAACTGGTTTCAGTTTTTGGTAAACAACACTTAAAACACACTTTGCTATGTGAGTAATAGCCGCCATAGGTCACATGACTTAGCGGACACAATTGGTCTACTATAGCCTACATAGGTATGTCTTTGGCTAGTAGTAGCACTACTTTGGAAAATAAGTACAGCCAATAGCTGGCGGTAACTGTAGGCCCATGTATTATTTCTAGCCATATCCACATCAAAAACTCAAAAGGGCTTACTGGACTAGAAGCATAATAATCAGTCCTATCAATATAATTTATTAATTTAAACGAGAAAATGATAAGAAATGTGAGCCATAGAAAAATACGATGGACACTCAGACAGCACATGAGCTTCACAATGATTTTGCGAAAGTTTTTTTCTCTATAATTTGTTAATGAATTTTACTGCTCTCAAAGAGTTCCCCCTGTGAAATCCTTACACCCTAGGTGTCACTCCCGTTTAGCATTTTGAAATGTACACTGATATACGTGTATGCCCCCTTCCAAAACTTGTGCAACCCCCAGTGGCCTCCTTGGAGATTTCTGCATAGTTAGGCCTCAGCTCCTAAGTGATTGGTTTTGTCTGAACTTTTGATGGTTTGCTTGGACGAAGCCGACGTGAGCAGCCTGTGCGCGGCATCATCTCTCACCAAGGTCTCCTGACTCTGGGCGGACAATATACCAGCGGAAGACATGCCGGCACATCGCCCCTAGAGACCGCAGGATACAGTAATGCCTGACAGCCTCCGTTGATGAGCAACGAGGACATGCAGCCTGGTGATTCAGGCCCGCTGCTGCTGTCTATTAAAATGCTTCAGTGTTAACATCATGTCTTTATTGACTGTAATGATTCACACCCGTGGAGTATACTTCTTCAACAAAGTCTCTGGCGATCGGGCGATATTGCATTCTGACAAAAAGTGAATCCGGGTGGCATACTGGTGTCGTATGATGTCGATCGTGATGCATTTGGTGTATATGTCGATTATGGTTTGAAGTTGAAGATTTGCGTGTTGCTGGACTGTTAGTAGGATAATTAGGCTAAGCGTTCTGGCCACTTGTAATAAATTGCTCGCGCATGACTCAACGCTGCCCTGAGCTTCCTACGACCTATAGATGGATTTCACAATAGCGCCATCTGCGCATATCCACATCGAAACCGAGGCTCTCTGGTTGAACTTGCTCGCGCGCGCTCGCAGAGTCGACACAGTACATGCAGTATCCGGTTCGTAAGTGTGGTGCCACTTCAATTTAAACCACGCCCACTGCACAAGATAAACGACCATCGCAGGTACGTTAGTTTGCAGTAAATTGCCATTATTTTATTTTGATTTCACGTATCGAGTCATCCTGAAAGACTCTTCCACAAAAATTTGCAGCCTGAAAAGTCTGAATTTAACATACCTTTATGTATTTTGTGTCTTGACTCCTTACTTTCAATCGTCTGATCGTATTAAAAATTGAATCTGACACATACAGCCTCGTTTTCAAACGCGAAAGTGCGCAGATTGACTCCAAAAGCGTCGTATTGGGATCCCTTTATGACACTTTCGGCAGAGAGCCTTCTGCACAAGGATGCAGCACTGTTGCTCTCTGGTGGGAGTGGAGCCTTACTTTCGAATAATAAAGTTCGCTGCGGCCAAGAAGGAAGACCAGTCACGTTAAAATCTTTTCACCGAACCCGCGGCTGAGCACTTAAAAATGGTTGATTTTCTCTAACGTTGGTTAAATTACAAATGCCCTTTGGAAATCTGTGTCTAGACACAAAATAAAAATTCGTGTCGATATTTGTCACTGGATTATAAAGACGTTGGTTAAATTACAGAACTTTGCATAAGATTTTTTTCGTATGTCCATGCTTTTATATGGTTTTTCTTTTCAAGTTCCAGAACATGTTCAAATTAAACTGTGTCCGTGTATTTTATGTATTCTTATTGTGTTACTCCGTAATGGTATTTTAGGTTGCGTAGATCCAAGTCCAAGATGGCGACCAACGTTCTTCGAGCCGAGGAGCTGGACCGGCAATTTTTGCAATGTCCCCTCTGCATCGACCGCCTGAAGAAGCCGAAGGTCCTCGCTTGCCAGCACACCTTCTGCGCCAGCTGTCTGGAGCTCTGGGTCAACCAGAACGACGGTAAGCTTTCCTGCCCCATCTGCCGAATGGAGTACCCCTTGGGCGATGGCGGAGTGGCCTCACTTCCAGACAACTTCTTTGTAAACGGCATCATTGACTTCATCAAGCAGAAGCGGCGGGTGTCGTCCAGCGCCCCGACATGCCATGGGTGTGACAGCGAGGCGGCCTACCACTGCTTTGACTGCAACGAGTTCCTATGCGTGGACTGTGCCAACGCCCACCGCCGGCTCCGTATGACCCGCAGCCACCGGCTGACCTCGGTGGACGAGTATCAGACCAGCGGCATGCTGGTCCGGCTGGACTCCCTGGACAACAGCGCCAAGTTCTGTGCCAACCACGACCGGGAGCAATTCGACCTCTACTGCGAGACCTGCGACGTGCCCATCTGCTACCGGTGTCGGGCCACCAATCACCGGCCGCCCCGGCACAAGCACCGCAAACGGCACGAGGCGGCCGAGCAGCGCCGTGTTGTGCTCGCCCAGTTGGTGGAGCGAGCCAAGGGACGGGTGGAGACACTCCGAGACAACCTGGCTGTCCTGAAGGAGACAAACCGGCAACTGCAGCTGAATCGTAGCCGAGCGGAGGCTATGATCCGTGAGCGGGCGGAGAGTCTCGCTGAGACCGTGGCGAGATACGAGCAAGAAACACTGGAGGAGCTAAACCAATGTTACACAACAAGACGGGAGGCATTGAACTCGGAAACAGAGCTGTTGCAACAGGTAAAACAGATCCTAGTTTTCTTCGACAAGAAACAATCTTTCACTCCTGTATAAACCAAAAGACTCACAGCACCAATAAAAGACAGCTGAAATCAATCAGAAAACACGTACACGCGGGAACTTGTTTGAACGTCATTCAACAATCGAAGCTCCTTTTGCAGATGAACACTTTCAGGAATTATGTTAAAGGGTTTTCAGAAGATTACTTGGTGGGCACGTCCCACACGCACAGTTGCCTAACTGCGGTGATCTTGCCTGTGTGCGATTTCAAAACATGACTCGTACAAAGATTTCCTTTCGTTGCTCCTCAGAATTCTTATGATTAACAGGTGCATGTGCGAGATGCCTGTACCCTGTTTTTTGAAACAGCTGTTGTAGACTTGAAGATATTAATCCAGGATTATAAATCTTACATATGTGTTCGCTGTGTCATTCTCAGGTTCTCGATAAAACAAGCAGTGTCTGCAGCGTAACGGAGAACCTACTCTCCGAGGGAAACGACACAGCTCTCCTTTTCGTCAACAGAGAGACAACACGCAAATTGGAGGAGACCATCGATATTGAAATCACCACCACAATAGAGGAGAACGGCCATATCGGCTTTGCCTGCGGCGAGATGGAGTTCAGCCGAGCCTCGCTGCTCGGACATATCGAGTGTCACCAGGCCATTGCCTCACAGTCCGTGCTAAAACCAGAGGAGGAATTCCCCCGGGACGTTCTCGCCGGTGAGGACGCTTGCGTCTGCCTGGAGACGCGGGATGCGTCTGGGAATCCTGTCGTGACAGGGGGCGCCGCAGTGAGCGCCAAACTCTGCTCCCCGGCCGACGAGGTCGGGCTGGCCCGGGTCAAAGACAACGAAGACGGGACGTACGATATCGTGTTCCGTTCCAACGGCGAGGGCCGGCACCGCCTCTTCGTGGCCGTCTTCGGCCGCCAGATTGTGAACAGCCCCTTCGAGATTATCGTACACAGGCCCGCCCGCAAGGTCCTCGAGTTTGGAGCAGGCGGCTGCATAACAAGATTACGGGAGCCTTGGGGCGTGGCCGTGTCAGCGCACAATGGAGATGTATTTGTAGCAGACACCGGAAACAACTGCATCCGTGTCTTTGACCTGAACGGAAACCACCGGAAGCAATTGAACTTCCCGAATTTTCCGAGCAAGTTTGAGCCTCTTGGTCTCACGCTGATTGGTGATGAAGAGAATATACTCGTCACAGACCACGTCAACAGACAAGTAAGCCTCGGAGTTTTTGTTATTGGTCTTATTCGGGTGGGCGTTCCCTTCAATGGAAAATCTGTCCCTCTTGACCAGTCGTGTTTCCGTATACGTTGGAGTGTAAAAGATCCTTCCCAAGGTAAAAAAAACTCTTGGCTGTAAGAATGGCTAGTCGTCGTATACACAATACAATGCGATACCAGTGGAAGAGGCACTGGCGGCAGAAGCGGGGGCAGGGGGGGTGGCAGGGGGGACAGTGCCCCTCCCCCCACTTTTTGACTGGGGGGTATGGCCCCTCAGTTTTTGCAGGGCCTATAATGGGGCGGGGCTTCATCGATCGGCCTATTGATGGCTAATGCTTCTTGGTCTAACACTCCCCCGCCCCCACTTTGAAAATCGTTCCGCGGCCGCCGGGGAGAGGGTGTATTCGGTTTAAGACCAGGTTTTATATCAGTCGGAATTTACTATGACTATGTGTACTTTTTAAACTGAGTTTGGAGATCTGGTACCAGATCTCTTGGCTCAATTTGAAGACACATTTTTGTTTTAGTCCGCGATTTATAGTGTGCATCAGTATGCTCTCTCTTACAAGGCAACCTGTCCTAAGATCGAAGACGGATAGAAAAAAACTTTCTTGTCCAGATTTCAGACCTCGAGCCTCGAGCATTGGCTCGTCTGAAAAACCTAATACCTTAAACTCAAAAAGTCGCTTGGTTTAAAGTTCAGGCCAGTTATAGTTTACTTAGAGGAGCACGTTGACTTCACACCAGGTCCTGCTATGTACTCGTGACGGGCAGCTCCTGCGTCGCTTCGGGGCGGGCGAGCTCCGACGGCCCTGCGGGGTGGCGATCAACAGCATCGGGAGCATCCTCATAGCCGACCACGGAACACATTGCATCCACTTCTACGACAGGTAAGGCTCAAGAACAACAACGAGCAACATTGCGATTCAAAATATTTGAATTGCTAAACGAGAAGTGTTTCTATATCCTTTCGACACATAATGGAAACAGTGTTTCCATTGTTAGTAACAACAGTCTACAAAAGCACAGTACACAAAGGCCAATTATAATAAATCTGGGTCCATATTGAAATTTCGCTCCTGAGACATTTTTAGCGTATTCTTTGTCCAGATGTTAGGGACTTTCATTGTAAGAGACCAGTACTCAAACTAAGCTGCTATTTTCGAAGGCTTTGTTACATGAAGAATGGCCTGACTGCAGAAAAAAGTTTGACAAAAAAGGCACAATGAAATTAAGCCCTCTTCGGCCTTCGATCCGATCAAAGCAGAAAAAAGAGACTTTATGAACGAATCTTTTGTCAACTTTTACATTTTGGATACCTTAGTGCCTTCCGCTATCGTAAAGACATCGGCGGATACGGCAAGGCCACAGGCGAGTTCCGCTGCCCCATTGCCATCGGTGTGAATAGCAAAGACGAGATTATTGTCTCTGACCGGGAGAACCACCGTGTCCAGATCTTCGATCCAGACGGGGAGTTCCTGGCGGCCTTCAGCTCTACGGGCGACGGTGAGGCACAGCTTCGCTACCCTACGGGGCTAGCTGTGGACACGCACGACAACATTATCGTCTGCAACGACTGGAACAACCGGGTTCTGATGTTCGACCAGCAGGGCCGGTTCCTCCGGAGGTTGGACAGCGACGCGGACGCCCTGCAGTACCCCTTGGGGTTGGCCGTGACGAACCACGGTAAGGTAGTCGTGGTGGATTACGGTAACGAAGCCGTCAAAGTCTTCAAGGTGTAAGATGTTTCTCCCGAAGGAAACCAACTTACCATCCACACCACTCACTCCCTCAGCCACACCGAAATCACCGTGACAGCTTGGTAGCAAGTAGGTTTGTGGACATGTAACGCCAGTGTATTTCGAGGGGTCTTCCAGTTTAGATATGGGAATGCATAGTTCTAACACACGGCATGTTTGGGAATCCACATTGTGCAAGTTATATGCCCTGCTTTAAGTGGTTTCAGCCATATTGCCTGTGTAGCGCTGCACGCTTAGGGACCCATTTTATGATCTATAAAATTGTACACAAAGAACCCCAGTAGTCTGATTTTCAGTTAAAATGAAATTAACTCGTTCTTTGTGGTGGCCACCAACTAATTCCCGAGTGTATGCATGAATTCGAAACAGGACATCAACATGAAAATGGCGTTGATACACTTCGTAAAGCGCTCCCAGTAGCCACAAGGACAAACTCTTCATTTATAATAAGAAACTCTTCATCTGTCATTTCGTTCCGTGCACATGCATCAAGAATGTGTTCACACTTCTTTGATATTAGTGAAGACATAGGATGACATTACTTTACGCGTGTTAATGTCAGTTTGATATCAGTAACATTGTGTTTTCTTAATTTCATTATTCTCCGATATGAATCATAAACCCAGTTGCGTAACTAGAGGGCTAACTTTCCGGGGGGCACCCGGGAGTTCAACACATCTTTTTCATGGGGGAACCGCAAGACAATAAGCTCAGCCAGTAGCTGCATTACGACGGATATTATTCAAAGATTTCAACTGGGGGCACCCAGGAGGCACAGGCATCCGCTGGGAGGGGGAACGTGCCCTCCGTGCCCCCCCCCCCAGTTACGCCACTGGATACCCCATATCTTTTAATTATAGTACCTTTGAAGTTATTCCTCACCATTTTCAGTTTCCTTATTTCAACAACCACAGCTCCAATTGAAATCATTAAACATTCTGAAATATGCATTCAGTGGTGTTTCCGTGTAAACGTTTGTTAATTAATGGTTAGCCCGCGGTTAGCTTTAAATTGAATGAAGCTTGTTTTGCCGTCAGCGGGGCATCCTGCCGCCACATCAATGTCTTTGTAAATCTATCTTCCTTTAAAACTGTTAAAATCTTTTAGATACGTGGAAATCAATCTAGTAATGTTTCTGCAAGAAATCGGGAAAGGCAGCAACACCGTATCCTTCAGACTTCTTTCCTGTTCAGTATTTCTCAACCTGTGGTATAATTTTGTTTATGCGCAAGCGCACGTGATTGTAATCAACTTTGCTGCAGCTATATATAGCCATCATAACCAGCCGCTGTTTCCGTCGGTTGACACTAACAGCTTCCATTTACTTTTTCTTTTATTCAGACAAGAATATTCAGGGAACACGACTTGGTCACTATATGGATACTGTCTCTGAGATATCCCACCTCACCCAATCGTTTCCTTGTTCCCCAGGGCCCTTACAGTGCGCTAAGAAGGGCAAATGAACATTTTTGAGGAAAGAGTCATTGGACAGAGTTCGCTTGAGAAGTTCATCGATCAAAACCTCAGCGTGCGCACGACATGTCTGCACCGAGTGTAGAGGCCTACATGCGCCAATGAGAAAAGCAAATAGGCCTAACCCGCAATACTCTGCATCTCGGTAGCTGTGACATACATGTATTTCCTTCAGACGATTTTGTGTGTGGGTATGTGCATGTGGGACAAGTGGACCACTTGCTGTGCAATGACGTAACGTGCATTTAAAAAAGAAAAAGAATAGCAGCTTGGCAACCCTCCAGACCCTGTGTGAAAAACAGTTGAAACACAGTAATATGCAGTCTGGGTGCTGGACTTGTAACTTTCCGTGGGGGCACACTGATGTACCATGCATGCACCAAAGCAGACACATTTTCGTTGAGCCTGAGGGCACGGGGGCAGGTTTACCTGGAGGGGGACAGATTTTGTGTCCCCGGACATATTTACCGGATTGCGACTCGGCCGGAGGGACAGTATCACCTGTTACGGGGGCATTCATTGCAAACGCTGGTGCTCGATATCTTCTGAACCAATGTATACATGCAATCTCTGTGGTCGTACCCGAAGAATACAGCTTGAACTGACATACCACTAAGTGAGAAACGTAAGTAGCCCTTGACTGAGACTTCAGTGGGTGCAGTGAGTGTTAATGATATCCAGGCGTGGCCAAGTAAATTGTGCATAGCTGATCTCTATCCTGCAGGGGCCATTTTCCAATACTCGGCCTTGTCTCCATCAGGATGCTTTTCCGAAATCAATCCCTAATTGTATTGGTCAAAAGCGTTCAAATGTAATCAAAGTACCTTGGAATATTGCTTTTCTGCACCTTATATGATATTTCCGCGGCACGGTTTGATTTAGTTTTGAGTTAATAACGTCAAAGTCAGGTTGTAAATGATAAAGGCTGACCCAAGATCGAGTATTGAAAAACGGCTCTGGTACATCAAGAGGAAAGGACGCCCTCTATAAGCGGACCCGATATCAACCTGTATTCAAATATGTGAGGGTGTTTGTAGTGTCTGGTGCTACAGTGCAGGGTGTACATTTTCTTCTGTTTCATTGATTTTTTTTTTCTTCTTTTAGACTATGCATGATATTTGGATAGTAACTTTGAAGTTACAAAGGCAGAGCTGTCGCGAGTTGCAGTTGCAACTGCACTTATTAGGGACTGCGAAGTACAGATGCCTTTTCACAAAATCTTGTGAAGAAAATAGGTCACATCTTCCATGGAGGAAGGTTCAGACGTGCAAGGCATTGGGTGTTATACATGCTTGCTACGCCATACGTATGATCACGTGTTGACCTGTCAGTTTTCAAAGGAACACTTACGTCACGCATTTGCCTTCTCTGTAATTATAGGGTGATGGGCAAAAGCGAAAACCCCAGTTAAGTTAAAATCACCAACGATACGCAATTCTATAATAATATAAAACAGCCGATTCTGATAATTTACTAGTTCCGGACACGCTGGCGTAACTGGGGCTAAAATGTCCGGGGGGCACCCAGGGGTGCACACATTTTATCAAGGGGACACCACGAGAAAATAAGCTCCAGCAGCATTTCGACAGAGATTATTATAGAATTCAAATGGGGGACACCCTTGGAGGGGGGATGTGCCCCCGTTGTCACCCCCCCCCGTAGTTACGGCACTGTCTGGATAATTAAACTGTCGGGCCGAAGGAACAGAGTGGGCCTGCGGATCGTTGAAGCGCCCTCGTTTTACAGCATGTCAGTAAAGCTGTAGGCTAATACAATCAAAATAAGGTCAAAAGACAAGCTGTAGATTGATTTCGTTAAGCAGTGTTTCTTCACAAGTGAAGTGGTCCTTGGCTAACATCACATGGCTCTGGTGGGTCCGTTTGTATGTTTGGGTTCTTTGACTGCAGCTTGTGTTAATCATTTTTTTTTATTTTGTGGAGATTAGGAATGAAGTTAAGGTTGGGCGATTGCAGTCAAAGGATCTACACTGGCTTTTTAATGACTGTGGCGCCCTCATACTCTTAAGACCTTTTTTACATGGACTGATTGAGGTAATCTGTCAGTCTGAGAAATGAACTGTTGCGTTCCAAATGGCTTGCAAATAAAAACCAATACTTCAAGAGATGAATTCTCGCTATACAACACGTTTTGTAAGAAATACTAAATTATAAAAGAACCTCCCGTCGCAATGGCCAAAATAAGTACGGAGTTAGCTGCCATCACCAACCCCCCCCCTTTCGGAAATGGAACAATCCACTCACAGCAGAGAGTCTGACATACTCTTATTAAGGAGGAGATTATCTCACTGTTCACGCACGAAGCACCCTTCAAGACGTTGCCGCGCGAGAGAGTTGGATCTTCATCGAGCAAATTAAATTCTCGGAGATATTGTCCAGATTTTTATCCTTCGGAAATATGCAGAGCTTCTGGATTTTTGCATTGGCAGCTGTCTCCTTTACTAAAGGTGAGTTCTTTTTCTTCATTTTTTTTCGAACAAAACTGTGTTTGGTTTTTGTTTTTGAGCGAAATCTTGAAATCAATCTGATTTTATAGTTGGGGTATAAAGTAATAAAACGAACAGCTTATTTTCCCCACTGACTGACGTGTTTCAATGTGAAGATCAAAAGATTCAACTAAAATTTTCTTGTTTCACTCAGATCGGCTGCTAACGAAGAAAACTTAGAATAAAGGTTCAGACTGTAGCCCAGTGTTTGCCCAGCAAATAGCAAATCCGACCGAGAGTATTACAACAACTGAGATCAATTTATAAAGGGAATGATATTTGGCTATTTGGTTTTTGTTTGTTTTTCCCCATTGAAATATAAATGCACTCAACTTGATGTGTTTCTGCCTTTAGCTTCAGAGGAGCAATACCGTCTAATTGATGACATCTTCCACAAAAAACGCTACAACAAGGTGATCCGGCCCGTCATCAACGAAACCACGCCCATTCTCATCACTATTGAGTTGTACCTGAGCCAGATTAATGACGTGGTAAGTACGCAGCCAAAAAACTCTAATTAAAAGCCTTCCATTGAGTTGTAATATCAGAAGAGTAAAGAGTCTTACAACTACAAGTGACAGGTCTCTAGGGTTCTGAATAAAATAAACACAGTTTTAAAGTTTTTTGTTACATTTGAAACTTCTTACTCATTGTGTGCTTCATAAATGACAGTCATGGTCTCTTTAGGAATGAATTGTGAGTTGTTCGACAACTGTTTCTACTCGTCAGGGAAATTCGCTCAGTTGAACATTGCCCGAAATTCAATTAAAATTTAGGCGATTCCATTCTGCAAAAACCTCTTTAGCCAACACTCTGACACTGTGAAAAGCGGTGAACATGCATAACAAAATTGTACAATGTACATGTATATACAAGCAAGGCAAGCAATATCGATTACTACTAATGACACGTTATTCTTGTGAAACCATGGGTATTAAACTTTGAGGGTGAATTTTGCGTACGACCGACGTCCCATGAATTTGTTGCATGCAATTTTCAGCTCACAGAGAGCACTCACTGAGAGACGCGTGTAGGAGTTTGTCTTGCTTCCCCTGAACGTATCTAAAGTATCATTGTTTACCGGTTTGGCATTGCCTTGTACTGTCTTCATAAAAGTAGAGCAGGAAAGGACTCTTAGCTTGGTTGAATACAGAATTGTAATTTAAAAAAAAACTCAATCAGTTAGTCCTCACTTCGAGAAAAAGAAATATATGAGGTCTGGTTGCTTGTGTATCTTCATCCCTATGGTTGACATACTCTTTGACTTGTTCTTGCAGCGTTTAAAGGGACCATGCTATTAACGTACCCGTCTTTATAGACACACTTTTTGTGCGACTTTATTATATTATTGATTTACGTACTTTCTTTAAAAACCTATTTGACGTCTTTTATGGCTGATGTCTATTGAAAATGTTCTTTATTAAACATTTAAAGTCATAGAAATGTTTTTCCAGACAATTAACTGAGGACTTTGCTGTGATGCAAATCTGTCAACTTGTGAATCCAAAATTTGCATGCTCAACGGGATTGCCATAGACCTATTGCAATATACTTGCAACACAACCTCGATCAAGACGACAGTGGGGAACAGGTCCTTCTCTGTTTTTGCTCCTCGCCTATGGAACCCCCTCTCCTCTATCTTCATGTTTTCCACTCAAAATCATCTTTCCAGCGTAGCGTAAAGACCCACCCTAAGATGGATGTTTTTGTTTAGGACTCTGTTACGGTATTGTATGATTATATCTGCATTTTGTGCCCTGACTCACTTGCATTTGTACTATGTTCTTTAATTTAATTGTGCGCCGGGAGTGTTTTTTTTTATTATTATTATTGTTATTATTATGCCTGTTTCTATTGTTATTATTAACAAAAAATCGTCATAAGAGAAAGGAAATGTTGGAACAAAATAATGACAATTCAAACAATTTTTATGTACAAATCGATGTAACATGTAAACGCAGGTTTTCACACTTAATATAGAAATTCACAATAATACGAAAACCAAAATGTATGCCAACACATAGGAAGACAGAAATTGATAAGTTTGTTTGGACACAACGGTGCGTGTTCAAGGGCTGCATGCTTTGAACCCCCCCCCAAAAAAAAACAAACAAACAAACAAACATAAACACTGCATTTCACGGACCCTCTAAGAAGGTTGTCAGGGGTTTGTACGAAGAGTTGGATGAAAACAACTTTATCTGCATGCACATCAGCAAAAACAGCATTAAAATGTCACTGGAGCCAAGAGAAAAAGCTATCAAAACTCATCCATCCAAAAGTACATCACGACAGATTGTTTGACTTCTAAACGTATCCTCGATCAACTGCATCCGGTGAAACTCGATACTGAGAAGAAAGGATCGAGCAATGTGTTCGCGTCTACCTTCCGAATTAAATCAGCAGTGTCGAATTAAACATTCGGTTAATCGATTTTTATCTCGTTATCGAAGAGGGGAGCACTTCCCTCCGCCCGCTGTCTGTTTGTTTTTCTCCTCTTTGTCACAGGACCCTCCCCTGTTTCCGGAAAAACAATATAATAAAACCGAGATAATCGTGGAATCCTTTCTCGTACGGAGATCCTTCCCCCCCGCACTTCCCCTCCCAGTGCGGCACTTTTTAAAAAGTCTCAGTCCCCCCAAAAATTTGGCCTCGGATTTCCATTTTCAGATGCCCTATTAGCGCAGTTACGTATTGATCAGTTCTCGGGGCCACTTCTTTCACCCCGTTGACTTTGTCAGCGGATGCACTCGCGGTCGATGCATAGGAGCACACGGGGAAAGGATAATGCGCAGTTTTACCGGCTGACATCCCCAGCAGTACGGACCAGACCGAGCATCGTGACTCCTGGGCTTAATTTATACATTTTCACACCTCATCAAATCTGGCGCTCGGCGGGATTTGCAATACCGCGACCATGAACGGAGACGCTGCTTACATGTCGTGCATCTTTTTTTTTTTTTTTTTTTTTTGACGAGGCCGCAAATTCAGGTATTCGGGAAGTGCGCGTGCATGGGAACTGCACTGCAATGATTTTGTCCGAGCAATTTTTTTTTTCACTGGCGGTTTAATTCACTTCAATTCTCGGGGGCAAATATTGGCCCTGGCATCGTCAGGACGGATTATAGATATAATTGGAAAAGATTTCGGAGAGAATTAGATAAGGGAATAGGTGCAAAGGGGTAAGCTACTTAGTTAAAGAGACTTCTGTCACAAGCTACTCTGCTCCACAAATGTCAATTTTAGTGATTTCCCAACATGCGTTCATGTGACTTTCACTAACCGAGGAGAAGAGCACAAAGCAACAGGTGATCTGTTTTAGGCTTTGGGACGAGGTCTTTTGTCGGCACAGTCCTCATGCACACTACAAAGCAGTAATACAAGGCTTGCACTTCACGTTTTTCAATGGTTCCTCGCTCTGCCAATGAAGTATTACCGGGCACCAACTGAAAGGGGTATGTACACTGTAACGGGGGGGGGGTTCAAGTACAAGATTAAACGTGTCGAAAGCAGCGGACACCTACGAGTAGTACCGTACACTAGCACATTCCTGGGAGGAAGTTAAGGTGGCTCAACCCTACAAAAGTCACGGGTCGGAATCCCCCTTCAATACCATACCGATGCAGTGAAGATTTCCTTGCCCGGGCCTTCAAAGTATTCTCTCTACACGGTCACTTTGACATCAATTTTATCAAATCGGATTATGGATCTCGCGCAAGGCCAGGTTTGCTAGACGAGTCTTCCAAAAACGTACAGTTTTTCTGTTTTCGTGCTCAATGCACTCGGGCCAACACGGGTGGGGATGTGAACTTCAAATGACCGTAAAACAAAAACAAAATCCTGTTTGATTACACTGAAACTTCCCCTTTACATGCCAGCATCATTTCATAAAGATCAGGCGCGAGACAGCCGAGGTACAGCGAAATCCTTCTCTCCCCTGCTGTGAGATGGTCTGAAAATTGCTCGGCTCTCTTAAAGGATTAACCCTGCCCTCCCCCAAAAGCCAGAGTGGATCTGAAGTAGGCCTCCTTATTACTTAATACTGTCACAAAGAAATTAATGCTTAGTGCAGGGGGCAACCGAGACCAACACAATCGTTTTGTTAGACGGAACTGAAGCTTGGCATTATTTAAGGGAGACTGATCATTTTGGGCGCCGTAATAACCTGGGGTAGAATCCGCCCTGACCGGCTATACGCCTCGAGAAGAAGCACCTTGTCACTGGTCGAAAAGAGCGCCATTGGTCGGGACTGTTCAATTTGTTGGTAGCGATGTGACCGTGACGCGTGCACGTCCTATAGTCGTTCGTTAACCCGCAGAGTTCAGTTCCGACCAAAGGGGCCTCCATTGCTAAGAAGTAGTGCCCATTCTTCGTCTCGCTCGAGGCCCCACATGATGGGGAAAAACTACCCCTTTGGGTTTCAATCCACCACATGGACCAACGGAAAGAGGAAACTAGAACATAAAAACTAACAAAAACAGACACAAGTTAAAGCCCATCCAAACCATTCTCCTCTCCCGCCACTCCTGAATCTGATGCCACTTCCAGGACTGCATGGCCACACAGCCATCGTGACAATCTCATATCGACTTCATGAAACAGCAATCTGCCAGGCAAGTTTCGCTTTTACACTTAGTTGGAATCTAAATCTTGGCTGCTTGTGATGCAGTCTTGTTTTTTTTTCAGTGTATATAGTATCCACGTGCAGTCAATCGCGCCGCTGCAGCTGTATGTCAGAGGAGAGTGCCCCTCATTCCAAGTTTGGGGTCAGGCATGCATTCAACGTCTGGTCAACGAAACATGCATAGCTCAGCTTGTGACTACACAATGAAAGCCAAAAAATACTGGCATTTCCTGGCTTGCACCGGTCATTAAAATTCATGATCACCGAGCTCGAAATATCTTTTTTTTAATGCCAATTTTTATTCAGATAGTCCAGCCCAGGGAACTGTTGAGAGGGGCTTTTGGGAGAGCCCGTGTCGAAACACTGAGTCTCGAGAAAGAAAGAGAATTTTGCTCTTTTCGTCAAAACGAGAGAGGTACGAGTGACGGCAAGGCAGTCGTCATTTCACGCGTGTTTTCGGGCACAAAATGTTCGACTTGGTCGAGTGCAGATTTTAATTGGTCTTCCTGTTGATTCATAATCTCGGAGCATCGCGATATGGGCCTTTTTTCTGCCAACACGTGCCACGCACTGACACGGTGGGTAGATCACGGCGCCGGCCGCAATGAGGGAACATGTACACACCTTTTCCCTTCTAAAATCCCTCACGAGATGCCTTGCATTTGTGAGATTGGAGTGGTACGCAATTGCCCCCAAACTGAAGAGAGCTCAGGAGGCACTAAACAAACAAGGTATAACACGAGAGGTGAATATTGTTGTCGCACAAATAAGGATTAATTCGTACAATATAAGGGAAGTCACATTTCTGTGCTTTTTTGTGATTTGACGGATTTTTTAATGTATACCTCTGGGGAAATTCCTCTCGACTTGTTTGTTCTATTTTGGCGGGGTGATATTGGCACGGGGTTTATGTTTCTCGACGACTTTTTGCCACTGTTTGAGTGATGGGACCTACCGTGCGTTATTCACAGCCTAAAATTACTGTTATTGGGTCTCATGCTTCGATTTTTGCCTTATTTTGACTGAGTGGAGATTTACCAACATCACGATTGGTGGCTTTTTCTCACGCATGGGCCTGTACTTTGAATTTACTTCATTAAAGAACAGTATATTGGCGATGTTCAATGTCGACTTGCATTGAAAAAAAAATCAAATGTATTCTTATTTTACCAAAACGAATATAAATTCTGGACTCATCATGCCAAATAACCCAGGACTGTGGGGAACTTCCAGTCTTGAGTTATGTGTACCAGAAATGTTTCCCGTGTTGCGTTGACTGTTCCGGCACAGATATTAGGCTCTTCCGGCAACATTGAAATGTCAATCGCGCAAATGCAAGCAAATTCCTGCCCATTAATTGCAGAGAGTGAAAAAAGTTTTAGCCTTGCAATAACACTGGTCATCGACAACAATTGTCTAGCTAGTATCTATTTCCATCTACGAGAGGATGCGTGTTGTTGATAGTGACAAAAACCAGTAAATGAAAGAAAAATATCATTCATCACGCGGAGTGATGCATGATGTCAGTACTGTAACAAATATATAGATAAATTTCATTAAATGTTGAAATTTAAGAATCAACAGAATAGGCAATACATCATCAAAATGCAATTAAACATCGATAAAATTAAAAGGTGACAAAAATTCACAGAAAACACTTATACTAAAAGATAAATTACTAGGACATATTCAACTCTTAATTAAAACAATAAATCCAAAAAGATAATTACAAATATTAAAAATAATTTTATACAGCTGTAATCCCAGACAGTGAATTAGTAATTCGTCTTTTAAATACAATCGAGATTTACCATCGTGGACGAATTTGTTGTGATTGCACTTTAAGACCAATAGAATTAAAAATAGCACAATATCATGACCGCACTCACCAAAAACTTCTTCACAAAAGGGTTCAGTGGCGTCTTTGTTGACAAATACTAGGCTTATGTGGTTTAAATTGCATTGCATTATGGGTAACGTTAGGTATACGCGCAGTAAACTCCCTTTAAACCTCGCATACGATTGTTCAGTACGGGATTATATATTAGACCTTATCAAGCCATGACAGATAGGAATCTTGCACATGAGCTTTGATGAGCTCTGGGCTCGAATTATACACGGATATTTACACGGTGGACTAGTGTCGGTAAAGCTTTTGAGTCTGGTGTACGATCACCTCCTAATGAAAACAACAGAGATTTTCTGTCTCCATCTCAGCCAAAGGAATTTTTCATCGAGATCGATGGACGCCGCGGTAAAAGGAGCGTCAGATTCAAAAGAAGGAAACATGACAGTGAGCAGACGCAAAAATCACTCCAAAAGCGCATGCGACTGTGCAGGTCCCAGGATCAGTTGCAAGGCAGGATTTATGTAAGGAGAATAGTGAAAGCATGAGACCTTACCAGAAAAAAGAAGTGTAATAACTAGACCCTCAAAATAGCACATTAATCGTCCGGTAACAGCTCAGTGCACAGACCCATTACATGTGTTCCCCTCGGTCATTAAGCGCACGAAGCTAGCCAAGCAATCCAGACTTGAAGCCAGGCCTATAAATGCTACGGTTACACTGCACTGTTTAATGTCACCGTCGGTGCCCTTCATAAAGACGAAGACCTCAGGATTCTAGAGTGTAGCATATAACCCATCGATTGATAAATTGCCCACAAAACAACAGTCCTTATATAGGCAAATGACCCACTTTCACAGAAAAAAAAATACGTGAACAACTTTCAATAAGCTTGATTTCTTAACATCTGGTGTAGCTGGATCTTGTAATTAATCATAAAGATTTAAGTGAGTGAGCACGTTTCACTGAGCAGGTTACCCCTATGATCTGAATTGTCGAAAATACACAAGAATATCTAATGGACATTTCTTGTATTTACTGCAGATTGAGAAGTACCAGACGATCAGCACAATGGTGTGGCTAACACAGGTAAGTGGCCAAATTAGACTGCCCCACAGCCTCTATGGCGCTCGAAATTCCCAATGACACCTAGAGAAAAGGAATGCGGAAGTTGGCACAAGGCACCGACGGTAATTCAGGGAAATCGAAACTGTGTACCTTCAATCGCAACAAGCATTGCTTTTCGAATAATGTTTCCTGACTTGGTGGGAGGAAACCTCCGATATTAAGCACTTCACATATGCTCCTAGCCTTAATCAGTACATTACCAGTACCAAACGTAGACCTAACACAGCGGCGTATCAAAGACTTGAATCATTTGGTTGGAAAAAAAAACAGGTTTTTCTTTCCCAAAACGACGATTAAATTGTTTGTCCGTAAATGATCACCCAATCCCCCGTACGAAAAGGTGACAGTAATTTTTTTTAAAAATGCCGACGCTCTCAATTTCTGGGGGATCATCGCGGGCTACAGCACAGCGATACAGATAGACGTCTCGAAAACAGTCATTTTTAGAAACCGCTCATAAATACATGCAGACGTTTTTTCCCGATTTGAAGTGAGTGTGTCTTTAATCTCATCCAGACGTTTCTGCCATTTCTGAAGGTACTATAATCAAGAACCTTGAACGCCTTAAAAAAGCAGGATTACATACTCCCTACCTTTGCAAATGACTCATACTAAACGACTCATTTTTCTCTTACCTTATTGTTGGGCTTTTAACGGAACATTTAATTCTTGACGTCATCGGGAATGATCGTAATCTAGGTTGCCTTTGCATTATGTTCTTTAAACAAAGATGATGGGAACGCAAATTAAAACAGAAAAAAAACAAACAAAATACAAGAACACTCAAAGTTTCATGTGAACAGCTTTAATCGGTATACCGATTAAACCTGTTTACATCCCTCAACTCTCAGAAATGTAACTTTTTTGTTGGGGTGGGTGGTTGGGTGTTTGTTTTATCTTAAATGAAGTAGAGTGACGGCCATAAGCACTCCAGAAAGCAACAATCTTAAGGATGAAATCAAGCATCTTTTATGTGTTTCACCTGGCGTGTTAGTTTCATTTATCCACCCATTTCTAGTTGTAAGCTTTCTTATAACACCTCAACATTTGCCATTTAAAAACTACCAGTTGCTACTTTTGTTTCCCCCGAAAGACCTGGCGACAGAGGTGTAAGCGACCTCTTAATATTCAGCTGGCTGCTGTCTTTGAAGTATGTCTTTAACCTTGTGTAACGTATACATGACTGAGTCGTGCCATGGAGACAAGGTTAATGTGCTTGACACCCGTGCTTGAATTATAGTTATTAAGAAGACTTGGGTTCCATCCCTAGACATGTGGTGAATTAAAGAAGAAAAATGTATGGGCTCGATCGCAGCGGGGGCGGGAAACTCTAACATGGTTGACTAGTTACGTTTGTAGGGCTTCTCCAGTAGTTATCCACAATCCTTTTCTTCTTTGAAAGAGTCAACATTATAATGCATGAGTATTGAAAACTATTCAAAAAGATCCATCCTGAAACGTAGAAAACGTTTGAGATTTACATGTCCTCGTTTCCTTCGTATTTCCTTGCCTACTTATTGTTATAAAGTTGCCAATCAAAAGAAATGTATCGCCTCTTTCTTTAAAAACCTTTTAGTAAAAAACTACTCTCAACACTCTAAAAGACGCTGTCCAATTTGAACTCTCGTAAACCTTAGGCCAAATTGACCTTTGTACCATGCTTAAATTATGGTTCTTTCCTTAAGATCCTTTGGCGTTTAACTCCAACTAATATTATGAACCTGATTATATCACCTTAACTGGGTGCATGATAACATCTTTTTAAACGATCGCCATCACTGTCTTCCTCCTGAAGCGCTGGACCGATGAATATCTGCGATGGGACCCACAGGATTACAACAACCTGACAGCTGTGCGCCTGCCGTCTAACATGGTGTGGCTGCCTGACACGGTGCTCTATAACACGTAAGTGATACATCAGAAACAGTGCATATGACACTTGTACTTAGTTATGTAGATGAATTTTTTTCTGACCTTAGTGTTTCCATACCGTAATTTACTCGTCTTAGTACGCCGTATCAGAACCGAGAGCTGGTTCGGACATTTTATTTTGGTCGCTGTTCCCTTTTTGACAATTTTAGTGTGACGTGATATTTGACACTTTTTCATACTTTAATTTCACTGTGCCAAAACAGTGTGCTTAAATTTAACTATACTAAGAACTACTCATGACACACAATAGTTCACTGGATAAATTTCATGAGTGTGTTGGTGGTATGTGGCTTCTTAGAATATTTTTCCTCCAGCCGTACCAAAATGAATTAAATAAATCAAGGCTTTCACGGGTGGAAACACATTTTTTAAATGACGCATGTTTGTCCTTGTGCTGTAATAAACCATGCATTTTTTGCCAAGTGAAGACAACCTCGCAATGGGGTAGTGGTGTAAACTTCGCTATAGCTACATCCGGAATCAAAAGTTTATATATTGAATTGTGATTATGTTTAGACCAAGGCCTTGACTGTATGAAAAATGACTGACGATAGCTGACCCTTCATCATCCAGGAAATAAAGTGCGATGTGGTGAAAAGGCAGTAAATGTTCTGCGCAATTTGACTCCTGTAACATTTACAAAAATGATTACTTCTTCCTGTGGAATATATCATTGGAGTGTGCCAAATGCATTATTTAGTATTTACCAGGCCGTCTTCACTTCCAAATCTAATTTCTATAATATGTTGTTATTTTACGCGATCTGTTACGTCTCGTCCATTCCTGTTATACCCTATCCTGTCCCCCCCCCCACCATTTGGATCCGTGCCGTCCTAAACTCAGTCGCGAAACTTCCAACGAGCAGCTGATGTCCATTCAGACCACCTTGATCATTAACAACGACGGCAGCGTGGACTGGAGCGCGCCCATCACCCTGATCAGCCAGTGCAGCGTCGACGTCAACTTCTACCCGTTCGACGCTCAGACGTGCAACCTCAAGTTCGGTTCGTGGCAGCATGACGCCAGGCTCATCGACTATCCGGAGGCAGTAGCCGATGCGAGCATGTACCAGCATAACGGCGAATGGGACACATTCAGTGAGCTATTCTTTTGCTATTGAAATAAAGAGTTTTTCTTTCTTTCTTTTCTTAATTAAAGGGCGGATTCTTGACAAATAAATCCGTGGTTCAATTTTAGACCTACCATGTTTTATTAACCAAGAACCATAGGTAATTTTTAATTTTGTTTGTTTGTTTGTTTGTTTGTTTGTTTGTTTGTTTTTCAACTGAATCTGAAAGTGCAAATCTTTTCAACGTTGTTTGCAAATCAGCACTTTGGGCTGTAAATTGCTATTGTAGTATCATTTTCATATTAATGATTTTGTTGAGTATTGCCTGTTTTTCGGACGTTTCGTTATCAGACGTCTATTCATAGGTGCAGCACTATAACAAAAAAGTTACCGTAAGCACTGAAACTGAAATTGAAATGTAGTGGCCATTACTAAATGGTTTACCAGTTGGAGGCGTTTTGTAATTTATTAACCCTTAAAATTAGAAGTTTTTAGGCCCGAGATCAATTTGTCTGCTACCACCAAGCGTCCCAAAGCCCCTCAACAGTTATGTCATAGCTCCAAAAGTCTGCAATGTTTTACTGTTATTTTAAATCCCTGACCACACACAGAGATGAACTTCAAGCGTAACGTCAAGATCTATGCCTGCTGCCCGGACAAGCAGTACCCGGACGTGACTTTCACGCTGATTCTGCGCCGCAAGCCGCTCTTCTACGTGGTCAACCTCATCATCCCGTGCGCGCTGATCTCTGCCATGTCCATCATTGAGTTCATCCTGCCCTGCAACTCTGGGGAGAAAGTCTCTCTGGGAATCACAGTCCTGCTGTCGCTGACGGTGTTCATGTTGGTTGTGGCGGAGAACATGCCCGCCAACAGTGATGATATACCTATCATTGGTAGACTTTAATTTTTTTAATTCTTTTTAATTTTTTAATTCAATTAAACTTACTTGATATATATATATTGGAGTACACTTTAACCCAGGAATTGTAGAACTTTTGACTTTAAAGTATGCAACATGATATGCTCTAAAGAATCTTTGTGTCTGACATTAAGGAAAATTTTCACAATGCACGGCTAAACCATAGTATTAAGAAGAAATGCCTCACTCCTCTTTGAGTATAGTTATTTTGCTTTGGTCCAGCTCACAACTTTGAAACATTCTCTGTTTTCTTGATCCAGCACGATACTACATCGTGACCATCTTTTTAGTCTCCTTTTCAACCTTCATGACAGTCATCGTGCTCAACCTCCATCATCGCAAGTACCGTGTACCTAACTGGGTGCACAATATCTTCATTGGTGGTCTGGCTCCCATCTTCTGCCTAAAAGTGAGCGCAGTTGTAGTGAGACGCCAGTTATTATCAACAAGTATCCAGTCAAGCCTTATATTACCTCGTCAAACCCATGCTTCTGGGCTAAGTTGTTCCAGAAATTTTTGAACCAAACCCAGCCCGACCCAACCCGTACCATATATCCCGCAGTCACACTACTATGCCAGATTTTTGTGACATAGCTGCATGTATGGGGCTGAATTGCCTTACTCCAAATTGATGGAAATGGATGAAATTTTTTAACCGTCAAAATAATGAAAATGACCGATGCGCCAAACACACATTCACATAGGCTGTTGGCTGGTTTTAGGTCAACTGACCTCCTTTCTGCCCAACAGGTAAACAGCCGCCGCACCAAGAACATTTATAACAGTCGGAAACACCACTTCCAGCTGGTGCCCACGGCCAGTACGGCCACTACTTACCTGGACCAGGACTCCTACTTGTCCAAAGACGACACGCCAAGCGTCAACAACACTCCCCGGCACGGCCAGACGGAGACGGCGTACACAACCTCCACCAGCCAGCCCCGAAGACCGTGGGATTGGAAGGTAAGTTGAAGTGCTTACGTTTTCGTCTTTCTTATCCACTCAGTCTAACATTATCAAAAGTAGTTGCAATTTGGTAGACTCTGCCACTGGAGAAAAAGGTGATTTGAAAGATATCAAGAAAATCTTGCAAAGAATACAATGTGTCCTACCTGACTTTGAAGGATCTTTCCATAACAGCAAATGCTGTTGATGTTAGAGTTATGCACGAATAAAAGCTGTGGTGTCATTATGTTCATCCTGGCCGTGTCAGCAAAAGATCAAGTTTGACTCCAAACTATTTAAAACTAATTACGTCAACCCTTTGGAACCTAATAGCTGAACAAACAAAACCTTTGAAAGAGTCTGGGAGTCTTGGTTTAATACCAAAATCACTGCTTAACTTTTGCCTTGGGTGCAGGGAGCCAGCATGGTCTTCCTTTGAAGGCTTGATAATGATTGTTTCTACACCATTTCCCCCGACAGGAGCAAGCCATAATGGACACCTTGTCCAACGTCAGGTTCCTGGCCCAGCGATTTGCCGAGAAGGACCGGGAGGAAGATATGGCTAATGAGTGGCAGAGCGTTGCCAAGGTCATGGATCGCTTCTTCCTCGGCGCCTACATCATCTGCGTGGTCGTCATGGACATTGTCATCGGCATGCAGATTTTCCAGGACCATGACCTGCCGGACGAGGTGCTCAAACCTGTGGAGTGATTTAGTTTTTATGTACGGTTCAGAATGTTATAACCCCCAATGGTTTGTGCTGGATTGGCGGTATGCATCAGCATCAACTGATCTTGCTGTATGCTGACCGACTAGTATAGAGACCAGTCAATAGACACTCTTCTGTGAGGAGCTGCAGGGTTCAAGTAAGTGCATTCATTGGATTAAAAGAAACCTCTTGGGTCGAAAACTAGTTCATAGAAAATTATATGATGGAGACCCCTTTCCTTTAAAGGTACAGCGAATTTGCCTGAAGATGTATTAAGGGAGCTTGATTGTAGCCTGAATGATAGGTGTTTGGAGTTAAAACAGTGCCACTGGCTTTTGGTGGAGATTTGCCGTGGTTAAGTCATCACTGTTATTTTGGTAACGTTTTTGCGTTAAAGCGATTGAAGCTTTATAACCCGGGGTTACGTACCCGGATGAGCTTCCGTCAGTTTGCCAACACGACTCCTGATGTTGAAGTTCCTTAGACTTTACCGTCAGCCAAGAATGTAACAAATTAAAGCTAACATCATGGCGCTAACGCTATGGCTCTGCAACTAAACCGCCACTGGTTCGAGGGATTGAGGGTAAAATCTTAGCTTGCACGAGACGCGGCCTTCCAAAGTCATTGGGAAAAATGGTCGCTCTAAGTCTGGCAAATTTGAATGTTTCCGTACGGAATTCTTATATACAAACTTCCTGCTTATTATTCCAAGCATTGTTCGTTTTCATTTCATTAGAGCTTGTGCATATCTTTGTGCTTTAATTTGGAGGTTTTTAGGATTGGTATGGAAACACTCTATCACAGACAATCAAGAAACATGTAATGTTCATATGAGGATAGATCACTTGGGTGTCACTTTCTGGGTTAATTTCAGACCTATCTCAGCTTGTGGCTTGTTTGGTCCAGAGAACAACGTCCTTTTTGAACTGAAACTTTTTCGAGGTTGAACTGGAGACAAAGATGGCAAAATTACTAAACAAAGAGTGATTTCTCACCTGAACTAATTTAGGGGGAACTATTAACTTGTTCCACTTAATTCTGCCTTCATTCCAGAATTGTAAGTCTGAAACTGCTGGCACAGTGTTTAAATGACTCAGGATCTTTTTTCCCCAATGAAACAAAATAATCGTTTTTAATTAACGTTGTGTATGTACGACATTAGGGCTTTTAATGGCGTCATACTTTGTAGATATAACTGTACAATATGTCGACAACTTGCATGAAGTGAGTCCATGAAATTATTGATGAAATCTTTTTGTGGTAGTAGTTTACTGTCTTGTACATAAATCCAGGTTAGTATGTAAGTAGTGCAGTATACGAGAAATTTTTATTAAAGGTGCTATGCGATCTTCAAGTGAAAGATTTTAACTGGCCAATTTACGGCCAAGGGTTTGAAATAGTTTGAGTGTGATTAATCATTTCCTTTCGGGTAAAGACTGATGAGAGGTTGTACGATGACATTCGGTATGGCGTCACTTTTTATATCATTTGGTATAAACGTACATGCAGGACACCTGAACTAAGGGCCAGGAAAGCCGGAATTAATGTGTCATGTTTCAAATGCAGTGGGGTATCTTCGCGGAAGGATACTAACTTCTCCAATATAGCCCCGTAGAATTCGAACGTGCTCATGAAATTGTCCTTTCGTTAACTGTGTATCATTATATAATGGGAATGTAGTTGAAGTGTTCTCTGCTCTGCGAGAGCAAAGACCAATTAAAATCGCAAAAGTGGTGTTGTAACCAGGGAAGACCATTTGGGGAGCAGAACAAGCCTCCAAGTGTCAAGTTAGAAACATAATCAGGGGCTATAGTCAACCTCTGTATACGCAGCTACATTCTTACCCAGGGTTCATGAATTAATATACGCTAACCTTTGTATCAAAACACAGTAGAATGGATGAAGTCAAGTCACCTGAAGTTTATCCTATATCATTCATGCCAAAAGCCAAATTATCAGAATGAAAGAAAATAACAAAGATTCACGACAATATTCAATGACAATAAATGCTTCACCGCTCAGACAAGATCTGGTCAAATATAATACGTACAAAAAAATAAGGTGTTTGGTGGACTATAATAGTCAAGAATTAATTTGGATAATTTGTAGAGTAAGGGCACATTCAGGTTAAGGCCTTGTAAGAAGGTAATGCCATCTAAGGTTCACCCAGACCAACATGGAGGTTTTCAAAAGCAGGGATGCTGTGAATTCTCAACCTATACGGCTCTCTAGGAATACAACACCCTCGCTTCAGTTTTCTGTAAATACGTAAGCCTATAAAGTTTACAACGTTTATAAATTAAATTGACCTTATACACTAGGAAGTCATTTTTGATCATGTTCTCTGAATCTATCTCATACAATGTAATCCGTTAAAGGGGAGGTGCCAGACTTTTTTGGATTCCATGCCTCACTTTCACTTTTGTTTAACATGTGGCTTAAAACCTTTAGATATAATATAAATCACATACTTCTAAATGATTTATGAGCATGAACGACATTGATAATTGTATTTATGTCTTATTTCATCTCTGCTTTCTTCTTTAATTCTCAGGTGCCAAAATAAAGTTAACCTCGCTTTCAATATGTCCGACTTGTGAATAAGGCAAATGCTAATAAAAGTTCTCGTAGAAATTTGCAATCGCATAAATGTTTACCAGTTACATACAAAATATTAATCTGTGATTACTGTGCAAAACTGTCAAACATTCCTTCCTTTGCTAAACTTGATGAGGCTCTCTGAAGCAAGCAAATATGGATTATTTCATTCAGTATCTTTTTATTCAGCGACTGGACATTGTGCTACAAGAAATCTCAGAGATAATAAACCATGTCAAGGAATCAACACAAAAATCATCGCTCATTCCGAGAATCATCTTTAAACGTGCATTCTAATTTGATAAGAAATTGAACTCCTCCGGCAAATCACACAGCCTAAATACGCAATAATCAATAATCATTTTGAATGATTCAAGATATTTTTCTTCAGTGTGCATGCACAAATTATCAAAGCATGTTTGAGCCTAAATCTCGAGGTGGATTTTAAAACTAGGCCTTCAGTTGACACAATGGCTATATTTCGGGGTTGTAGTTTAAGTCTTTGATATAAATTTAATGATCGAAGATACAATGGCTACATTTCGGGGGTATATTTTAAGTCTTTGATATAAATTTAATAATCAAAATGCGTAGAATACTGAAATAAATATTTTTTTAATAGAGTCAAATGAGACATGTCTTACTGTGTATAAATCAAAACGATAATGGAAATGGATAGAATCTGTGGATGTAATTCTTGCTGTTATGCTGCCTTTTCTTGGGCGCACGCAATAGCGGTGTACGCGTGTACTAACTGATGAGAGAGAGAGAGTGTCTGCATTTTCTCTTGCAGTCATTGTCTGAACGAATCATATTTCCTCTGCTAACTGGCTGTAAATGTACACCCCTGAGGGATTTGATTAACGTTTGCAAGAACACAGTTTCATAAAGCAGACTACACCAGACGTGTTCGTGCATTCACATCACCGTGCCGTCGCGCGCAACGTATTGATTCGCGCGGGCGACGAATGAAATTCATTTATTTGTTTTGGCGTTGCATTATGGGATGCATGCACTGCAGGCGGGAAAATATTTTCATGTTCTGAGGCCGGAGGTTGCTTTTTTGCGTAAGAAGCTACGCGCTGGAAGTGGGGCATTTGGTAAGTCGGTGAGGATGTTAAAATATATTGATCGACGATCCCAACTTTTAAGTAGACTAAGCCAATATTGTTTAAATGAGCACTTTGCTTACCAATGACATAATGCTTAAATAAATTGAACAGGCATTGGTGTAAAGCCACCCTTAGGAATGTACATTTACTAAGTTTTAAACATGCCAGATCTTTATCCTTATGCCATTCCCATCACACTTAATTAACTTTTACGAATTGTACCTCATTTTATAAGGAATTAGAAACTGTTTTGATTGTCAGTTTCGTTGTGTAGGCATTTCTCTACATATGTGCTGATCAAGGGTCTGCTGGATGGAAGTATTGCAATAAAATAAGTACAAGGAGGCTTGAGAGGTATGTGTTCTTGCAGCAAACAAAACGTGCTTTCATTTCAATTGAACTTTTTGTCTATTTAATTTTCAACTCCTACTTTAACATGAACAAAATTTTTCAACTTGCCCATTATTCAAGATTTTGCAAGCATTCACTCTCTGTTGAGAATTTCCTTCCAGTAGGCTCTATTAATGTTAACATAATTTTGTTGTAAAGATTTGATTGTTAAAATAAACTCAAAATGTTACTTGCGTTTTCTAAGAATGGTGAAATTTGGTGAATTAGTTTTTAATACATATTGTGTGAAATAAAACCGATCGATAGTATTTAAAATTGTAACTGAGCAAAAATGGCGGAAGTGGCGCAGACAGCTGCAACAGCTACTGGGACAGACGCTGTTGGACCGGGCGAGGCGTGGGAGCGATAAGGGGCGTGCTCTCCACCATCAGGCGGGTCGGTACTAGCCGGAGGAGGGTACCCATGGTCTGCATTGTTGCCACCCCTCGACTCCACGTAGAGCTGGGTGCCGTTGGTGTGGGCGTAAATGGCCGTGTAGACCGTCACGTGTGACGGAGTCACGACCCCAGTTGCGCGCTTGTAGCGACTGCTGGATCCTGCATGGTGAAAAAGGGAAACTCTTAATGATCCTTTCTGATTTTTGGCAAAGGCTGAATTTGGTCTCAGCTCAATCAACCACTGATCAGCTTTGCCTGGTATTCCATACACAGAGTGATCAAGCCAGTCACTCCCAGGCAAAATCGACCGTTGTTTCCCGGTTTTCTTGTGGAGGTGGGCAGAAACAGGAAACTAGAACACTATTTACACTTCCACAAGACAGTCCATGTATGGAATAATTTCAACCAGGAGGTAATTCCATTCCATTCCAATTCATTTAATTCCACTCCACTAGTTTTTTGGTTAAAACTATTGATAAACCTTTTCCCAGTAATTTAGTAATGTTCATGTTTGACCATTGCAAAACGTCTTTTTCACCACAACCTGTCTTCTAACACGAGCCAGTTATAAGCACATAGTTTTTGCTCATCATGGTAATTTGTGCTCGAGCAGTAACCAGCTACAACTCAAATTGTTATGCACAGTATATGATGTAGGGCCTGTACATATTGATTGTAAGTAGTTCCCAGTTGATTTGACGAAAAGACAATTTTCAAAAGTACTGTTCCCTATGCATAGGCAGCTCCACGAAATCGGGCCGTGACTCAGCTATATCTGCACCCGAGTTAAGCTATACGGCCGATCGAGAATAACACAAGCGCCTACAGAAGCCGCTGGGACGGAGCTCTAGAAGTGCAATCTGCAGTGTTGAGTCTCAGAATGACGATGTAACAGGCAAGATGTGGAAATCCTATGTTAGTTTTTATCGGCATCAAGACATCCTAAGATAATGACTTCTTCCTAATTATACTGGAGATCGACATCTAGAGGTATAGGACGACGAAATATAATGAAATCCTTCTGAGACAGTTTATCACAAGATGACGACATTTTCACAGCAGGGTGACAAGATTCTTAGGAAATGAACATGTATTACTTTCTTGGAGGATATCGGTATCCACTAGTAAATTATCAGGGGATATCGACATACCACCTGCAGGATTTCATCATCCCGAGGTAAATTGTCCAGTCCGGAGCTTTGTAAATGCCGTGCGACTTTTTGGAATCGTGGCAGTTTATCGTATAGAAGGACGAATACAGGACAGATGACAGCATCCTGCGAAAATTTTCATAGAATGTCATTTGACCTGTATGTCGTCATTCTACTGTCACGATTCCAAAAAGTCGGATGACATTTACAAAGCTACGTACCAGCCAGCCATTTCCCGCAGAAGTGTGTGGTATAAACCTGTAGGCCAACAGTAATGCAGACACGGCCTAGTAATTTACCAAGTAGAGCGGGATCTATGAAGAGGTCCACGCGCCCGTCCGTTTGCACTTTGTAGTCGTACACAGCCTCGTTGGGGTTGGGCACCTCTGAAGACAGGTACACCGTGACTAGTCCGGATGACGTCACGAACTTGAGCGTGGCACCCTCCGTTCTATCAATCTTTGAAGTCATTCAATGGATAAAGATTGCTAGTGCACTTTCCAAATTTATACAACCAAGTATCGGCGGCAAAAAATAACCTCGAACGATTGCCAGCGGAGCTTTATTTTTTAACTTGGTTCCACAAAATGCTCCAGCGTTGTTAATTTTGTGCAATACATAAAATTATCACATAAACTCCAGGATTTTGTAGGGTTATTCTCTTCGCCCATGGGATTATGTATTTTAATGTGTCTGCTAAAATGTTTTGATTCTGTAATTTACGGTAGGGTTCTTAGTCATGCTATGGGAGAACTACCTGAGAGTGATTTAGTTTAATTTGTAGTAATCCCGCAGGGGCATGCACTATTTTGGTGTTAGGGTCTTAGTCTTTTTATGAGGTTTGTGTTATATTTAAACTTTGTCTTTTTATGTCTATACTGTGCGCAATATTTTTTTAACCCTTGTAAATTTGACCTGCGAAAAAATAAATGAATGAAATGAAAGCGTAATACGTGGAATACAAAAAGTGAAATCTATTTCACTGAATTGGGAAGACATTACGCTATGAAGATGGAAAAAGGGACGGACCGTAATAACATCCTTTATGAAGTCTGGAGCCTGACTTAGAGCAAAACAGTATATTTATGACTGCAATCGGTGTTACCACGAATATAATGCTGATACACATACTGAACTGAAATAGAGTCGCCTACCTCGTATGAGATGAAGCGGGCTTCGCCTTCCTGCAAGTCAGTGACGACCGGGTGGCCAACGGCTATTTCGGTAGTTTCTGTTCCATTATTATAATATTGAAATTGGTACCAGTTTCAAATAATTATAGAAATACGCTGCAGTCATAGTTTGAGCAAAATTGTGTAATCTTAATATAAAAGTAATTATAAAAACTCTTCAGTGGTGGCAAAAGAAGTGACATACAAAAGTGACTGCATCCGACGACCAGTCCAAGACCGCAATGTTTTTGTGCGCATTTAGGTGACATTTATTCTGGTGCAGTTTATGGAATAAGCTCAAAGTCAGTGCGCGCATGACGTGTGTCTTTGGACTCGTACTCTAGCTCCTATATGATTGATCACACAGCGCCACACACCGTTTCTTCGCTAGGGTCCGTGGTTTCTCTCAGGGATCGACCGGAGTCGAGTAATCTCAGAATGACAACAGCTCGTGCAACAGCAACGAGTGTTTGGCTGATAGTTTTCTCCAGCTTTGTAGTTTAACTTTACCCCAAGAAAGGAATATATTCAGGAGGCTTCTTAACTAGACCCCCCCCCTCAAGCGGAAATGTCAAATTGTTGAAGGCAGGGGTTGATGTTCTCCATTTGGGTAATTCCAGAAATTATGGGGGTCCATTTTTTCCTGTCCCTGTCACATCTGACATATGATTTTGTAAGTTCAGAACACATTTTCTAATTTTCAAGAGTGGTGAATTAACGTAAATTACCTGCCACACAAAAATTAATGGTATGAAATCAATTCCGGTGATATTCCCATGCCAAATAGCAAAGGTCTGATATAACAGGAACACAAAAATGTCACACTTTTGGACCCCTAATTTCTGGAATTACCCATTTACCGTAGTAGTGCTCAGCCAAACCAGAAATAAATGCGTAAATGCTCGCAGTACTTTTCAGAGTTGCAGAGGAGTTCATCACAAGTCCCTGTAAGTCCAACCCAAGCCCATCACAAGTTATTTCGTCTTGAGGCAATTCACAAGCTACTATGAACTCTGCCAAAGCAATCTTTCGTCATTGCTGACTCTGTGTCTTATGAATGATCCTGTGTGAAGAGACTTGTAAAAAGACCGTTGATTGACTCGACTAGAACATTGGTATATTATGAATTGTAAAAAAAAAAGCGAAAGTTTTTTAAAAGTTCTTTGGGAAGTGTTTTGTGTGTAATGCACTGAGGCTCTTGCACCCACCTCTGCATGTCCTGGTGGCCATAATATTCTGGAGGTAGTCGATGGCCGCGTAGCTGAGGACGTGCATGACGTGAGACGCCACGGGCCGTGAAGCAATCACCGTCAGCTCGCTGTCATCAGCGGCCCCTACGCCGATGCAGTAAATGGTGATCCCATCACGGTGGGCCAACTGCACCCAAGTGACCAGTACAAAGACATTTATGGAAGGGCCCAGGGCTAGATTTTTTAATGATTGCTGGCAACGCCGGGAGCGCACGCAATCGTCGCACTTGGGACGTTACCAGCTATAATTGAGATCTCAATTGGAGCAAACACTAGGCTTATAGTCGTGAAGTTGCTATGCACACCAGAGAATAACGCATACGGTTGCCCTTTGTTCTTGGAACGTAAAACATTTCTGTAAAGTACACCCCTAGATATTTGAGGACTGAATCTGAACAAAAAAAGTACTTTAGGACAAAATCATTTCTTTCCTATATGTCTGTCCTCTTTGGCAAATACAAGCCTATGACTTCTCATTAATGTTTGCGTGGTGCCAGCTCGGATGAAACATTGGATTGTAAGGTCGGTCCCGCGAGTAAAACTGTTTCTACTCGACTAACTACAGCACATCATCAGCGCGTGGAAAGCCTGAAGATGCACGATCGGTAGAGTTAAACCTGTGCTGTTGGTCTATAATAGCCAGGGTCGATTAGTCGACATCTCCTGTTGAAATGTTAATTGCCGCTCGGGCCTCTTCCGTGATGCTTTCATCAGCGTCTCTTACGTCGACATGGAAAAAAAAGCTTTATAATGTTTTGTTGGATGTTGTTGTCTGTGCATGGGTAACCATGCGTCTTCCAATCAACACAAATGCATTAGTATTAGAATGTGGAGTTGCAAGCCGGCTCAAAAATTCTTAGGCCAAGCTGACACGTGCGTAAGTGTATGTGTATGTGCAACTTTAGATAAAATATTTGCGTTGGTGAAGCTGATGAATTGACTGATCGAGCTGCCTGTCATGGAGCGGCAAGCTGGGCGATCGCATGGTAATCGAGGTAATATTTTTTGTACCAATGAACAGAGGAACGTGAAGATCCAGAATGGGGATTTGGGGGTCGACCCCCGCTCTGACCACCCCAAAGGAAATAACAGATAACTGAATAAATAAAATGGTGACATCCTGTGAGGGTAATCATTTGTGTATCGGTAATGCATCATCCATGGCCCTTTTCCAATACTCAACTTCGTCTCCGTCTCAGGCTTTGTCCCCGAACCAATCCCCGATTGTGGGTCGGAAGCGTTCAAATTAAATTGGATTGCTGCATTTGTTTTGTTCTCTTGCATCTTATTTGATGTTCTGTGGCACTGCTAGACTAATAAGTGCGCTTACAGCTTCAAAGTGAGGTAGTAAAAAAACAAACAGTTGAAGCCTGAGACGGAGCCGAAGTTGAGTATTGGAAACAGCCCATGCGTCGGACCGTCTCCAACAATTGGACACAAAAAAAATATCTTACGGGAGTGAACCCCCCCCAAAAAAAAACATTCGTGGATCGACCCCTGAGAAGTTACGTCTACGAGTATCCTGACCTCAGGGATTAGGCTTAAGCTTGTAATCGAGTTCAGAAGATCCCTGAAAGTGCAGAGCGGTCCACCTTTGTAAGTGCAACATTATACCGGTGTACAGGGCAATACTTCACAAAATACTGATGTGAAAAGGTGGGCCAACTTTACTCACACTAGTCAATACAACATATCATTATATCTCCCATTCAAATCACATCCTGCAAGTGAACAGCTAAGCAGACGAAATGCAAAAGGCCTTCTCACCGCAGAGGGGAAGAGTATCGGGAACTCCTTGTTGGTTTTTCCGTCAGTCAGGATGACAGCCACACGCGGCACAGCGTATTGCGTCGGCCTGGCACCGTGTTCCTCGGTGAAGCTGTTCTGCCGGATGAAGTCGATGGCGGATCCCATGGCCGTGCCTTCGGGGGAAAAACCAACAATTGCAGACAACCTAAGAAAGACTGGAAACTTGGAGTGGGAAAAGTTTCAAATATACAAAAGGGTGGGTCGGAGAAGAACTAGAGATCCCTTGAAATGCGTTTGCAGATCATGCTAGTGCATGGCTATAGCCCCCCCCCATATAGACGCGTGTATTCCATTTGAATCGGCCATTGACTCTGTACATTGCCACGTTGACGCTCCAGTAAATCAAGGTTTGCAAAATGCAACATCCAACGTGTGTTAAGGAGCCTTAAGTCCGTAGCTAACTAATTTCATCATTTTGGGATACCTAAAATAACAACTAGTGTAGCACAGTTCGAATTTCTTTTAACGGAAGAAAAATAACTTTTTTTTACACCTCCTCCCTTGTACGCAATCTCATCCACGGCTCTCAGGATGCCTTCTTTGTTGTCATGGTTGTCGAGGTCAAAGGCCAAGGAGACCTCATGAGAGAACTGGAGGCAGCCCACCCGTGTTTGATCGTCCCGTGGCCCGATGTTGAAAGCCTCCACAACCTTTGCAGAGGAATGATTAGAAACCCAATTAAGTATCAAAGCAGCAAATCAATTACATTGATACTGGGCTAAGAACACCAGCCTTCTGGAATTAATGCCCATTCGCGTTTGGTCCGATGTTGAAGGCCTTCTGAATCTTGGTGGAGAAATATATCCATATAAACACTTTTCACAATTTGGTCAAGCGGTAAGCCTGCTAGGCTTTAAACAGAGCTACAAAATTTGATAATAGCACCATTAAGCCCCTTCCATAATCGGTCCATCGGGTCGAATGGCCTTGCAATCTATGGCGCAGCCTCCCAAATTGAAGCTGGTTTCACGGAACTATTATCCAGTTCTAAAAACAAAAACAAAAAACCTTTTAATCTTGTTTCAATGAATTACAGATATTTCCCATAGGTCTGTGAGTTCCACATGGCGATATTGACTCAACATAACTCCACGAAGGAAAACGCGTTACCTATGAACCCCGAGATGGTCCATGAGAGGCTGCAATTTTCCCAGCAACGTGGGCTCCTTTGGTCGGAACTACACTTCGCCGGTTCACGAGCAATTATTATCAAATGCATGCTTTACGGTCGCGTAGCTACCGGCAAAATGAACACTCCCGACCAATCTGTTCAACCAATGGGGGGGGGCTTCTGCTCAAGGCGATTGATCCGAGAAGACGCCATTCCGGGGCCATCGCACTCATCAGCGCAGCCATGCGCTTACTTCCGCGTTTTGTACCCGAAAGACCATGGCTTTTCAAAATACTTAACTGGCGTATTCTTTTCGCCCGATATATGTCTAGCGCGTCTTGCTCATTTTTTGTGTGAAACTGTAATTGAAGTATGGTCACGCCCAATTCTTTAATAAAACTATAGAGGCCAGCTTGAGCGGCTTTTGAGAGAGCACAACGTCTTTCACAATATTTAAATCGGCTAATGCCTGTGGAAATTAAGTTTGTTCAACGCCCCAAAATTATGGCAGTTAAACTAAGTTATTTGTTAATTACAAAAATACTTCGCACAATTCCTACTTGCAGATTTACGCATAACGATGAATTATGTGCTCTCTGAAAACTCTGACTTTGCTGTCGAAGATTTTCGATGGTTTTGGAATTTAAGAGCAATCAAATGTTATTCTTATTTCAAGACTTGTTTCTCAGGGCCTCTCTATACCAACTCTACATTACGCTGAAAATATACAAAAATAAAGTATTCTATCTATCGGAGCCAAGCTTCGAAAATTGTCAATTTCGTAAGGTTCTCCAATCAGATTTACCTGTTTGACAAAATTCTTACTGCGGGCAAAACCTTCGTCTCCTACGGATAAGGAAGCGTCCAGGGCAAACACCACATCGATACCGATCTTACAAACTGCGACAGGAAAAGAAAGTACAACTTGAAACAAGTCTAATTTCAGGGACGCCTGTGGTGACATTTCGGCAAAACGAACGAGGCTTCTCAAGCCAGATCCACTGAAACACTTCAATACAGTTGCACAATCAGATTACGCTTTGAGTGCGTGTCGCTGTTTGTCTCCTTACAGAGAATAACCACCACTGGCAAAGATTAGGCAGCGCGAAACATGGGAAGGGGGACGTCAACTCCAATAATCTAAAACGACAAAAGCAGACGTTGTGCGCTCATGGATGTGTACATTTAAAACAAGACATCGCCACATTATGCCGATGGGGGGGGGTCGGAGTGACGTCTCTACGATTACAGTATACAAGCAGTATTTTGCTTAGAACATGGATGTTGCTTTCCCCCAAGGATCACACACATTTATTCCATGGTTCACAAAATTCGGATGTTTGTTAGTGTTGTTTATTCTTTAATTTTAGAGGGGCCTTTATGCAATGATATAAATTCATGCGATGGCTATTTTCAGTTGAAAATTTAAATGTGGCATTTTTGCGCCGGCAACGTTCTTTTGTGTATTAAAAGGGGGGAAATTTGGTAATAAGCCCAAAATATTTTCCATTCAATATTTTGCATATTTTGTGACATTGTAATGTTGCATTAAGATAATCAGCCATATGCCATCAATTGCAAAGGCTGATTTACGAAAATGCCTATAGTCATATCCAGTAATTTTACGTGTGCTAATTTTTTTTACGAGTAGCATTTAAGTCATTTTTTTCTGATGAATTTGGGCCTATACCTTGTCCTTTCTCCATCTCGGTGACCTTGGCAATGAACTGGGCCTCGTCCCCGTCCTTGTTGTACTGTAGCTTCCAGTACAAGGCCTGCGGTGCCAGGCCGTAAGCGACCTTGTCCACCGGCGTTGACGTCATCATGATGTATATGCGGGCAGCCAGGGCTGATATGAGAGGTGTCTGGAGGTCCGTGTATGTGACGTCACGCCAGTCGACGCCAAGTGCACTCCTCCTAAGATCTGTGTAGTAGCTACAATTTCGATACATTTTTTTTATATTCTTTGGGTATAAAGATTTCGTGCAGGGCATATACACCCAGTTGTGCACATAGCGAAGGTTTTCTGTGCCCTTTGTAGATTAGAGTTTTCTCTCTGTCAATAGGTTAAATCTCTCCCTGGAAACACCAGTACCATAAAGTTGAATTCAGATTTTTTTTGTCAGAAAGTATTCAGTGCTTTCAAACCATAGTATTCTGTTACTTCGTGAGCCCTCTTGACAACACTTTTGGAGGTAACGTACCGGGTGTTAGAATCCACTGCGGCCGTGTGCGGCTGGTGCCCACGTGAAAATGGTAAGATTTTGTGTACATTCAGAGGAAAATTATTTGTCATCCACACTTTAATACGCGAGTAACAGGCCGCGCAGCACTATCAACAGACTGTTCCTGCTATAGTTCTTGAAGGAAATACAGACCATAACAGACCTTTTTACCTTTTTGGTAAAAAAATACACTGGAAAAACATGGTTTAAATAAGACCCTGTGTCATGGTATAAGCCCGGCGATGTCCTGTATGGCTACCAATTAGGGGAGTTAATTTAATACAGGTTTTACCGACACTATAGCATCCCTGGGTTTACAGAAAATGTGTATGGTGATTGGGACAGATGTTATGATGGATAGACTGGTGGTGTTCATAGTGTTAAGGTATTGGCGGCTGTAAATTTGCAGGCGGTTAACTTGAAAAGACGGTGAAACTTTATTACGATGCTGATGGCAATGGAACGAGTTTAACGAGTATTCGTTATTCCTCCAACCTTCCCCAATCTCCCTCGGCCAGCTCTGTGGTCCTGGTGAACGCCTCCGGTGTCAGCCGCCAGATGCCGCCTGCCAAACCGCCGGCAAACGCGGCTGAGTCCTTCCCATCCGCCGTCTCTACCAAGGCGATGCGGCGCAGCAGCGAGAAATCATCCGAGAAGATGTCGCTCAGGAGGATTCTCTGGACGGTGGCCTCCACAACCTTAGGATATGTGTAATATGTGTAATACTGTAATAATGCTGGAAGGTTTGAACAGAAACGGCAGCGTGACACACATCAAACAAGTTTACGAGTGAGACATCAGAAGTTTAAAGTTTGTCTTCAAGTTTCCTTCGTACATACCTAAGTCGCAATAGTAAAAATGCAAAATCTGTACGCGGGTATCATTTTCTCTGCGTATGAGCAAGAAAATGACAGATTGAACATTTGTGGTAATAGATTTAGAAACTATCAAACTGTCAAGGGACGCTTACGTTTGGGGAATGTTCATAACCGACCTAGTAAAATAAATAATGCGAAGTTTTATGCAATACGACCGTTTCACTACAGCGCGTTTGGAAAGGGTCGACAGATTTCGCGCACTGCGATTGGCCAACGTGTTGCAAACTCTTTAAGGCGCCCTAGTATGAATCGCCCGTATTGTCTTGTTACATTAATGTGGTTCATAATTATGTTTTGCACTGAAGGCTGACCTACTTCTTTTTGTCGTGTCGGTATATTGCCATTAAAACAAACCCCGCATTTCAATGTCAGACGTACCTCGGGACCAACAGCTCCCGGTGTGACGGTCAAGTCGACGGAGGCGACAGGCGTGAAAAACGGGAAAAGAAATGCTGCAGTCACCGCCAGCCGCACTGCCATACTTCGAACTCTTCAAAAAGAAATCTCCCAATCAAAGCATGAAATTGATGATCTCAAAATGCCAACGCCAATGGATCAGTCTGGTGCGACACACAACACTGTGGATATAAAGTTAAAACGCTCACATTTGAAATCCGTTAATTGGATGCACGTTAACTTTCTTGTCTGTTTTACTCCATTGAATTCCGTTTCAAGAATATCCCACGGCCTCGTGGAAGCAAATGGGGAAACTGGATTCTGTGGTGAAAGCATTTTGATTTTCAGATGAATACGTTAGTTTTACATGGCTGAAGAAAGTCTCAAATGACTCGTGTTGTCTCTTCCCCCAGACAGTGTCCAAAACACTCACTGGTCGACTGGATTTGCAAAAGTCACACAGAAAACTTCTTGATTTCAAAAACATCGAATGTGTGTATGCTTCCCATCCGAAGTTGAATTACTTTCCTACTTTTCATAACCCCCTTTTTATTCAAGAACAAATAAGCCAAAGGGGTGCATCGCTGCCGATAATCGGCTCTGAAGCAGCAGTTTTCGATTGGAAATGATTGCTGACAATAGAAAGAATGTGCCATCGATGAAACGTCACGGGGTAGTTATCGTGCCACAGGGAAAACGCCACTGAATTCCTAGGATCCCGTGACCTGTATGATAATGAAGTGCGAATTGAAACTGTACACCTAAACTGAAAACCTGTAGAAATATCAACGGTGCATGAAAAAGCTATTGTGCGAAAACGGCCACTTTTGGGACCACTTTGTCAATTACAATTCAAGCAGAAAATTTACCACATATACAGACCTGTTAGAGTTTCATCTACCACCGCTGGGATCGAGACAAGTGTGGTGTTAGTTTTCCTAGTGAGTGTTGTTTTTCAGAACGATCTGTCTGAATTAGGCGGAGCAACATAATGATTTCTCTTCATCTCGATGGCAGGGACTGCGTCGATTAAGTGCTTTCATCTCCGAATCTTTTTTCCAGCCACGTGACGTGACAGCCAGCTGTTAAAAAGATGTGCCAATTCATGTCAACATTTCAACACTCCGGGTTGGTGCAAAGCCATTACACACGTCAATCATACCAAGCAATACCTTGCGCAACAAGCTTGAAAACATTTTTGATTTAACACGGTCGATCGTCAAATCAACATAATGCAACCAAAACCACCTTATCTTTTAAGGGCAATTGTCTACATCACATTTTCCTTGCAGAAACGGCCTTCAGTCGTGTCATTTATTATTTCTAACCGTTGGGGAGACAATTGAATAAAATGGAACTTTGGCTACATGATTTTACCGGAAAGTGCAACGTTGCAAGTTTGCAACACAGACAAACTGGAAGGCAGTGCTTAACATGCAGTGTTGGACTATGACACAAATTTGTACGAACAACGCCACATAATGCACTGGCGCAGAGTCGACAGAACTATTCTACGACATGTACACTTGTCTGGCACGCACTGCAACGAAGATGGCGCCTAATGAGATAGTATTACAACTGATGAAACTAAGAGGACCGTGACGTTGTCTATAGTTGAACAGTATGATATGCAAGTTTCATAATTTACCTACATCAGGGCAGCAATGTCCAGCCCTTGATCAGGCAAATGGATGTCACATGTTGAACTACGTGTAGCTGTTTTGTGGCACCCGGCCGGTGGTGGAAGTGAAAGACTGACTCCAGCATTTTGTGGGGTGCAAGGAGGGGGGCAGGGGCGCTCACTCGCTGGAAAAATTGACGAAGGGGACAAAAGCGAAAAGCGAAAGAAATGTCAAAAAAGAGATGAAAAGGGATGAATGCCACCAACGTGTTAAAAAAATCAAACTTGAGTCCTTATTGGTTATCATTTTTTTGAAGCTGATGAGTGCTTTTTGCCCCTCGAGATTTCTTCTTAGAAAAAAAGGTTCGCCCCCTTGAAAAGTCCTGGCAGGATTTGTGAAGACCTTTTGGGCTTTCCAGCGAATAAAATGCAATCAATTAGCACTCAGAAAAGGACAGGCAATTTCTAAAAGGAATATGCAATTTTGATGTATGATTATGCGTAAATGTAATACATATTACTAATGTACAGCAATATCATTAACACCGACCTCTAATATAGTGCTATGATGGTACGTGCCATTCCTCCTCCCACCCGTTTTTCAATTTTTTTATGGCCGGGCAAGCCCCCCCCCCCCTTTTCTGGCACAAATTTACACCTCTGAAAAAAAACGCGAAAATTACAGGTATATTTTGAAGCAAAGTCTGGCAAGGAATCATACCGCACACAAGTCAATCTAGCTTGGATATCGACCGGCCCAGCCTGCAACTGTACCGCCCGTGCGCACACAGCCACTTCATTATCAGCACACGCACCGGTCCAGCCGCCACCTGGGAACGAGCGTCGTCCCCTTGACTCTTTGCGTCATGGCTCGCCAACAACCGGCCACTCCACGCCGTACGCACAGAGAAATGGATGGGGGAAAAAAAAAAACATTGCACACACACAGACCCGTCGATGGTCCTTACACTGTTTGCCTAGTAGTGAAGTACACGGAACAGCTCGAGAGGGACAAACACAGGTTGTTTTTTTTTAATTCACATCCGCACGAAACATGAACGGAATTCGGAACACACACCAGCACTTTGCATTTTTTCCCCAAAGTGGCTTGAAGGCGGAAAAAGGGGGAGATATACGAGATGTGATTTTTAACGATTTTATCTAGGGAGAACGCTCGCTTGATAAGTTGGTCGGGAAAAATATTGGGGATAGTCTACCCACGAGTGTTTGACAGAGTTCATGTTACCGATTCCTTCCGGAAGAGTGATGTTTTAAGTTTGCTTGTTCAGCCTGACGTGTACCACAGAGCAAGGAACAGAACAGACGCAGCAGGTTTGAAAATTTTCATTTGTCCAAATAGAAATGTTTATGGTTCGAGTTTAAGATTACCACTGAAATTCGATCATTTTCAGTTTTGAGGTAGAAAACATCGGGCAAATCATTTTTAAATACTCACTTTGCACATATCTCGAGTGCACTGGAATCGTCAAAATTACCCATGGCTGCAGCCATGGGAGTTGCGTGGGTTCGAACTTCCCAGCGACCAAACCAAACGCGTTTGACGTCGGGTTGTCATGCCATAGAGGAAAATTAAATCAGTTCAGCGGAGGAGTTGCATGACAGTCGAGAAGGACAAGGGCGAAATGAAGAATTATTACAATACTGATATCTGGGAACATCACTGAGAAAGTCGATTCGAGACAGAGATTGTTTTCAAATAGAAATTTTTAGGACTCCTGTGGGGCACGGTTTATTTTTGCTCAAAATGCATAAAACGGCATATACGTTAACCAGCTACCAAAGCCTTGACTGAAATTCATAAAACAACGAGCACAAATCCTGCCAGAAACAAGCATTGAAATAAATCAACAATCTGAATGATTCACAGCGATAAATTGAAGTAATTTCAAGTTCACCGTTGATACACAAAGCTGAATAGAACGCACGTCCACAAAATTTCCAGTTCTGAAAACGGGGAACAGTATTGACATCAATACCAATGGGACAAGCAAAAAAAGAGATCCCACAACACGGGCGATTCACAGTGCGCCTCCACGACTTTGCAACGCGTCGGCCGATCACAACGTGCGAAATCTGCCGACCCTTTTCAAACGCGTACTGAGTCGACAGATTTCGCGCGTCGTGACTGACCGACGCGTTGCAAACTCTTGGAGGCGCACTACTGTGAATTGCCTATTTTTTCCCGATAAAAAAAATTAAGTCATGATTAAATAATAAATCCCTCCATTTACGGAATCTTTCCAGAATGTCTACCCAATTCTCCCCTGACCACAGATTCAACAGGTAACCAACAAAGACCAGATGAGCTAACTAATAACACTGATTTTGCAAGCTGAATGCACTACCACTTACGACATTATGTATAGTAAACTTAAGTGACAGTTCTTAATTTTGGAAGAGGATTTCAACCTGTAACTTCTGAAACACTGGAAAAGTACCAACCAACAACCATCAAAGTTAGCATTATATGACTGAACAAGTTAGACTTTAGTCGTTAAATGTATAAAAGGCAACATTCAGTCAATGCTTTCAGAGAAAATGACTTAGCAGGAGCATTTCTTTCCAAGATGTAATTTACAGCAACTCCTCAAAGGGTACAAGTAATATGTCTCCCTCAGTCCACTGGCCACACTCTCTGGCCTCTGCAGGCCTCTCCAAGGCCATGAAGGCCACCAAGCCATATATGACATGACGTCTACATCTCCACCTCCTCGTCTTGTGGCCAACCCCTCATATCAAGCCAGTGTTGGCCACCCAGGCCACCAATCTCAGGCACCTACCACACGTTTGTCCTGATATCGCTTGTGTATTTTCCCCTCGGCCTTTGTCCTTTCTGTCTGCTGGCCGCAACAACATGGGCCACCCCGGCCACTACTTCCTGCTCAAATTTATGCTAAACATCTCTGTGGTTTTTTCTGGCCACTCTGTTCTGGCCTATGTAGGCTACCCAAGTCACAAGAGACAGATCTAAATGCCATTTTACGAATTTGGCACCTCTTGCGCACCAGCCTCTCTCTCCTTGCTCTCCTCTTCCTCCTTGTCCCTGTCTCCTGGCCACAGCTTCTGGCCGATATAGAAAGCCACCACGGTGGCCAGCCCCAGGCCGCAGGTGGCCACCATGATACGGAGAGGGGGCAGCACTGACTGGGGGAGGACTCCATACACCTCCACCGCAAACTGGCCCCGCAGCTGGCAAAAACTGCGAAGAGAGCAACAAAAGTACACTCAGTTCTGTAAGGCCTCATCCCATTACCTGGCTACGGCTAGCAATGACGCATACTTCTATGGGAAATGTATGACGCCACTAGCTCCTGGCTCCCATAGGCCGATGCATATTTTTTAGCCGAAGCCAAGAAATTCGGACACCACTGAACATGCTGTACATCAGGGTAGCAATGTAATACCCTGAACAAATTCTTTGGAAGTAGTTCAAGAAAAGATCCAGAACAAAGACTAGTATTTTTTAGCATACAGATCTCCATTTTTGCACAACTTTAATTATGCTGAGCATTTCAAAGCTAACAAGCGCTACGCCTAAAAACGAAAGGGGCATCCTGGACATGACTCCTTTAAAGGAAGGTGGCCACCTGCCGTCCATATGTGAGGCAACCAACCGATGTCTCACCTATAGTCAGGGTTCAGCACAGACAAGTTAAACACCATGATGCCGTTGTATGCACTCCATTTCAGCCGGTTGTTGTTCTGACTGCTCAGGATTTCATAGGGTCGATCGGGAAACTGCAATCCGCTGGCGTCATCTTGGAAGCAGTTACGGTAGTTCTAATGCAACAATTTGAAGATCCAAAGATGCAGATGAAAGTAACTGCATTCAGTTTGTCAATTGTGACTCGTTACCACAACATGAGCTGGAAGTCAGAATTTTCAAAAAATTGAGAAACTGGTATATTTGAATTCAGCGAAAGAGAGCTTTCCCAGCAGTACATATTTGGAATACTTAGAATGAAAGTATGAGCTGACAATGTGACATAATTTTGGCGACTTGCGTCTTTGTTCCTGACATTGTCTCAACATTTCTGACAAGGCATGAATAATGCCATCATCAAAATCGTTGACAAAATGACATTTTTAAATATCTGATCGTGCAAAATATTTGGAATTAAATAGGAGACAGCTTACTTTTTCCAAATATTACAGGACCCCAAAATTGACCTCCACTTCAATATGAGTTTAAACCCACAAAATAGAAAAGAGCAGAATGAGACTTTTTGCTCATGTTGTTGTGACGGGTCACAATTAGAGAATAATAATCTCTGAATGACAGGAATGCCAGTACTGTAATGTTTGGAAATGGAGGAATCTACAAAGGGGTAAATATGAACAGACAGGAAAATCCCTAACTCTCGGAATGGATATCCTAAACAACCTGGGTACAAGCGATAACAATACTTCAAGGACTACTTCAAGATTTGTTTTCATTTAGAAAGGCTGGGGAGGGTTCATTTTTTTGCGGGGGAGCAGAAAACAGGAGCAAACCCTGAATCACTTGAGTCCAAATGTGGGAACCTGATCAATGTTACTTTAAAAACACAGGAATACAAAGGGACAGGAGGACCATAGCTCTGTGTGCTCCGCTGCATTCTTGATAATCTGCCTTGAACATTCCTCAGTCTACAGAAGTTGTCCCAAGGAAAGACTTTCAACATTGGGATTGGTCCTGGCATAAAAAACTTGACAGACCTCTTATCACTCAGAATTCTGTTAAAGACTGCACGACACAATTCACGTATTCTCTTTTAGTGGGGCTCGAACCTATGAGGTGTTGATTAACCACTGGTCATTAATCTTTGCTATCATTGTCGGTTAGATGTACCTCTCTTGTCCAGGCAGTTGCTGGGTCCGGCGAGTCTTGGGCAATCAGCTGTCGTAGCCAGCTCTGTGGCTGGGACCTACAGCCAACCTGGAGTCAAAAAAAGAAGTGTTTTAGTGTCTTTGCAAACGTTTACATGGAACTTGACACATGCAACTCCCCTTTTTAGAAGAAGATTCTACATAATTGAGTTTCTTTCAAACACAAATGGTCCTTTTTTAATCAAAGCCACCAAAACAAAACATCTATACGAAACTCTACCAAGCCTTCATTGATTTTTTATGTTTTCACTTATTCTCTTTTCTTTTTCTATTTGGAAGGAAGACAAAAATCACAAAGCAGACTAAATTGAGAGGTAAATCCTGCGGCAAGAACAATTGCCTTTTGAACTTCTAGATTTCACGTATCACCCGCACGGTGCAAACCTGTTTGGCCGTTTTCTCGTAGCTGTAGGTGAACATGCCATTGATTTCATTCACAACGTAATCTTCTTGCACCTCTTCAACAAACACATCACCATCGTATCTGCCACAAAAAAAGTTCCAAGAGAAATATTAATAATGAAAGTTAATATGTCAAACGAGACAAACAAATCGAAAGGAGCACCGAGTATTCACGCACAGCGAATGGTGCAAACTGTTCTCAGTGATAAATTGACGAGTATTGTTTTCTTGCCCATTCTAAAGGGTTGATGATCAGTCCCACAAAGAAATGATAACTTGCATGTTGAGCATTTGGAGTTAACTTACCTCTCTTGCCAATAAACTGTATCACGGGAACAATCTAGGGTCATATTAAACCCAACACACAAGAACGACAGCTTTGATAATGTAACACAATTCATTGAGATGAAGCTTACAAATCAACGATGGGTTTCAGCATGTCCTGGTAGTACATGACGATGGGACAGTCGAGGGTGTTATAGTCATACAAAACGGTCTTGTCCGCTGTAGCGGTGAGCCCTCTTGACCCCAGCAGAAAGGTTGGGTCATACACATCCCTGTTACAGAGAAAGAGAAAGAGATCTGGAAATGAGAGGTCTTCTCTGGAGGACTACATCCCACAGTTTTACCGAGATGGTTTCCAAAACTGTAAGCCTTACATACAAGCAAATGTGGCTTTAATACATAAAACAAAACTCACTTGTATATAGTATAGGCATATCCTCTCTTATTTGTACAATCCTCGTCCCCATTCCTGGATAAATGAAAAATGGAAAATTCTTGGAATAAAAGTGCAATTCATATTAAACCAATAGTTTAGTCTCTCTGAAATCTCATGACCAGCTGGTAAAAAAGTTGAAGCCCAAAGTGTCCTTTTAGGCCATTTAGTTCTTGGTGGTCCCAAGGCATTAACTATTATATCAGGGTTCCACTGAATTCCATGGAAACTAAGATGTGTCATAATCAATGCTCTGATTCAGTCGTGGACTAAGCCATTTATCACCCACCAGCCATCTTTTATAATCAAAACAGTTCCTTCTTGTCCTAATTCAACTTTCTATAAAGTGGCAATTACAACCTCACAATGTTAGACATGTTGCATCAATTTTGACTTTATTTCAAAATCATCTTCAGGCAAGATTGAAGGAGGGTATTCATGGAAAATGCAATCAGTAAAGAATATTGTAAAAAGGGGTGCGTCAGACAAAGAATTGCTTGATCTACATACGGTGTCACAAATTAGACACATGGATTTAAACCAAAACATGATGAGCCCAGGACTCTTCAACAGATTCAATCATTGGTGAGACATCAATGCTTGTATTAGACAAGTACATGGAAAATCAACAAATTTTATCAATGAATACAAATCAAAGTGTGAATCTCAAATTACAGCTGTCAAAAAGATTGACAACACAGCTGCTGAAACCACACAAAAAGCCGCTTCAATAACTTTGTTGTGAATGACAAGCACAACACCTCGAGGGAAAAGTTAAGCAGGGAAAAACAAAAAGCTAAATCTAATTATAGTCCATCTTTAACGTCAACCATCAACAGTAATCAACATAAACTGATGCCAAGTACCTAAAATGGTTGTAAGTTGATAGCTAATATTCTATGAAGTAGTACTACTTCATGGAATATAAATTGTTCAGTATTCCTAGTACTTTCCAATGAGTCTCAGTTTGGAACAAATAAATAAAAACAAGCAGAAGAAAGCTAAGTATGGAGCTCGGATCCAGAATGGACATGAGCATTGTATTCGCTCTGAACGGACACCACCTCGATGGTAAAAGGAGTTAACTATGAGGCTCAACAAGCCTTTTGCCCGTTAAATTTAAATCAAATCTGGCACAATGATGGGTTCTTTAAATTCACAGGTATGGAACAATTTGAATTCTCCACACTTCTGACACTGTTGCTATACCTCATGATTTGAGGCAAGCTTTTGCTTAGTTACACAAGAGACACCTTGCACCAATACACTGTTTTCAATGGATAAAAAGGGGACATAGGAACCAGTCCATTCAAGAGATGGTGGTCACTATGCAAAAGCTTACCCTTAATCAAGAGGTATAGCAACCGTTTCTTTAGTCAGAGGAATTCAAATTGCTATGTTTATGTGCAATCAGACAATTCAGTGTACCAGAGTTAACTTTAACTCGCAAAAGGCCTGGGTAAAAAGCAAATTTGAATCAATTTTAAGAGAGTCATTAGAAACCGAGAGCATTGTCGCTGACGGCAACTTACTTTCTGATTCGGACATGTCTGCCTGGTGAACATCCTGCAACAACGTGTGCAACCTGATATTTGGGTTTAAACATTTTTCCTCAGTGAGTTAAAAAAATTGCATCATTACATTTCCTATAGTAATAAATGAATCAATGAAATAGTGCCCAATCACATCCTAAGTGGATGAAGAAATAAAGAGAAAAAAAAATCTAAGTGCTAAATGTAAGAAGTAAAACAAAGTCATAAAATGAGGCAACTTTCTGCAACCTTTTGTCAATTACTTTAAGAAAGCTTTTTTTTTTCAGAATTGCCGGGAGCAAGACACACTGAACCTAAATCTTCATCAACACTGCAAAAAGTGCAGTGATACAAGCAGAGGCACTTGTAATATTCATGTGGTGGGTCTGACTTCTAAACGGTGCACAGTAACTGGAAATAAGGCGGGATGTTGTTTACTTCTTGAGTACCAAGTTTTATACAGCTTCATTTCGAAGTAGTTAGATTTGAACAGAGCTGGAGAATATGGATACTAGATGTTAACTGCACAAAGTTAAGTTAACATAAATAATAAAGACATCAGAATCTCACAGGCTTGTAAAAGTTCAGTTTTTGGGACAAATGTGCCCAAAAAGCACTTGGTTAATTTTTCAACCTAGTATCCAACACTGCCTGTACTTACTACTTGCTTCCTGTGGTGACACATCAGACTGGCGTCGTACATGCTCATGCTCAGAGTAGACATACCACGAGCTTCATCTTTGCCGCTTGGGACAGAAGCAAAGACATTGATCGTTATTGAGACAAACAGATGACTTTCTGGACTGGAAATAACGACACAGTGATATGCTACCGTGCAGCTGTTTTTTAAATTGAGCGAAACTGGCTAAGCAATGATTTTATGACCAGCAAATATTCATAAGATCTAAAGCACACCTTTCCCTCACTCAAAAAATAAAAAATGCAAGTCAGTCAGGGAGTCTGTGGTTCGTAGTGTGCCAATTTCAGCCATCAGAAATTTCTTACTAATGAGACAGGCAACATGAGAAGATCATGCACAGAATACTGCAATAAAGATGGACAATAATAGAAAACATGGAATCAAAGAGAAAATATAGAACAAATCAAATAAGCCTTTTGCAAGTTAACTTTGACTCAAATCTGGTACACTGAGTTCTTTAAATTCGTGTGAACATAACAACTTGAATTTAAGGCAAGCTTTTGCATAGTTGCAAAAGAGATGCCTTGCAACAAAACACTGTTCTCAGTGGATAAGAACGGCACAAAGGAACCAGTCCATTCCAGAGATGGTGGTAACTATGCAAAAGCTTTCCCCGAATCACAAGGTATAGCAACAGTGTCTTTAGTCTAAGGAATTCAAATCGTTATGTTTATGTGCAATCAGAGAACCAGATTTTATTCAAATTTAACTTGCAAATTGCTTATTGCGTCTTACTGGCCAAAACAAGACTGTTTCATTGTCACATCCAGTTCAAAGTGAAATGATGCATGTGAAAAAATGAAAAAAAGTGAAATGATGCATGACACTAGCAATGCTTACCCTTCAGGCAGAGTATCAGCGATCAGAGACACATGTGCAAACTGTGCGGGAATGAAACAAGCATACATTGCACCATTAACTGACGATCAGGTTCAAGGTATTACAGAATGAATTTTTACTCCTGATTTTTACAAATTCCAGATTTGGTGAGTTTCAGTTTCCGACAACGTCATCAACGTAGTCTTGAATTTAAAGAATTGGATGAACAAAATCTTCGCAAAAATTGTTTGAAAATTGTGTATACGGATAGCAGGTTTTCTGAGTTTAATTACTAGCTGCATTTCATCCACTGCCAAATGAACTCACCAATTTTGTGCTGATCACACCTTGTGCTAGTGGCTCTCCAACTTGGACGCTGGTATTCACCGACAGGATTCCCAGATTAGACAAAGACACCTGTGAAAATGTGAGAAAGAATGACATAGGATGGGAGGCTGACATTAATGGAAGACTGTCAATAGATTCCTTGTGCCCATGGGCCCTTGTGCACAAGTATCTATAATCTTTCAATAATACTACGTCACTGTTGGTACTAATGTTGGCCCAAAATTTTGACTTTTAATTGGTGTAAGATACTGCATCCAAAATTTTGATGTACAGGGTGCTCATCCCAAATACTGGCCCACTAGATCCATTTTTGAACAATATTTGAGTGATATTTCTTAACCCAACCTCACATTTTTCAAAACTCAGGAGCTCGCGCTTACAGAACCATATTTGCTGCCTCACCAGGCTGTAACCAGTGGCCACAATAAGATTAAGTTCATCGCATGCTCTGCCTCCACAGACTTCTTGGACTTTGTGCATGTGTGCCAAACAAATAGATGACAAGGGTGTACCAAACAAATTGACTAAGTGGGGTCAGGTTGGCGTAGTGCTTCTTTCCTCGCCTTCCACCTCTGCGGCCCAGGTTCCCTGCCCAGCTCAGCCACCACGTGGATTGGGTCAGTCCCCACCTGATTTGGTGGGTTTTACCAAGACTATTTCTCTATGGTTTTCCTCCCGCCTCTAAAACTGTGACTACTTCTCATTGTCACCTCTCTACAGATTTTTTCAGGCTTGCCAGCTACAATGCCAAGAGTAGTTTAGAGCAATATTTTATTACCAGAAAGACTCCATGATAACCTCCACCAGAGCTGAGTTGGGGCACAAGTGAGAGTTTAATCTGCTAATCATGACTGGGTTTGCAGATGACCTGATCATGTTTACATATCCTCCAGTGTGAAGTGGTTAAATGTGCCAATGTCATACCAAAGCAAGCTCTGTTTCATGAGCTCATACACCATTTCCCTCTCTACTGAGTTGCAGGATAAACTACCTGCTTGGCAACGCCCAGAGATCTCACCCTACTTACCATGTAGCTGTTGCACTCCCAAGCACCAGGGATGACGGTGGCACTCAGGTCCAATGTCTGGCCCAGGTCCAAATAAAACAGCCGATCGTGGAAATTTGTGATGAACCCTTGGTGCTGTGAATAAGGATGGAAACACGTCACTGTGCTATTATTTTCTACAAAGTGTTTTAACAAACAAGGAATGTGACCCCTTGGCCGCAACAGGTAGTGGAAAGGTTGATGACCTCAAGGGGATTCAACTCTACCATTGGTTTTTTTTTTAACTTTTGGGTATCTTTGACAAGTAAGCATCAATGTACTCAGGCCAAGAGCTGAGAAGTACACACAGACTTCATGCACATTCACTATGAAAATGCAAAATACTTGTCATCGTGAGTTACCAGTAGGCAACACTTCTGAACTTCCACCAACAGATTACATGAACTAGCCAATTGAAAGTCTTCAGAGGGGGGCACTGGGGGCAAAGGGAGGGCGACAAGCCCCCTTCCCTCGAGGCCTGTGTAACCCCCCCACTCAGAAATTAGAGGAGAAAACAAATCTTGTTGTCCGCCTTGGTCAGTATGTGTTTCAACTGCATGGCACCATGTATATGCACATGGAACCCCAAGTACTGAGCATCAGAAATGATATCCAGCCTACCCTACCCGGCATTTCTCCAGTGGAGGTGTTACTTCGGCCAGCTGCTGCTGAACGTAGACCACCTGAGACAGCATCTGCAGCTTGCTGGTAGGGGGAAAGGCGCTCGTGTTCTCGTTCGTGTCGACTGCATACAACAACTGAATATTGTTTGTAGGGGTGAAGCGGATTGCGTAGGAGTTGCCAATAAGGTCAGGCAGGGGGCTCTTCAGAGGTAGCTATGTGATAAATCACATTGACCAAGATCAATTCTGTGCAGACCTCTTGTGGGGGGTGCTCTGTTTAGGTTTAGACTCTGACGATGTGCGCTTTGCATGGAATTGGCCTGGTGGCAGATGTCAGGTCAGGAGCATGTGTTGGAAAGCTTGTAATACAAACAAAAGCAAGGCTCAAAGCAAATTCTGAAGACCTTTATGCAACTGAGCGATATGGGTTGCTTGAAGCATTATGGAAATCTATGCAAGTAGCTGACCATACCAGTCTGGTCTCTGTTTCAATCCAACTGTACAAAAGACCACATAGAGTAATGCATATTATTATTTAGTTGTCCAATCAAACATACAGAGACACAGGAATACAATGAAGAAAAAAAAACACATAACACAGGACACCGTAAACACATTGGAAAACAGAAAGACACAAACAAATAACTGAGATAGAAAGTAACTACATGTACAAAGATGAAACAATCAGGTAAGGGCCAAAAGGAAATAAGAAGCTCTACATAGGTATTTAGGAGCAACTAACAAATATTTACCAAAAATATGTGGATCGGGGGTTCCAAAAGTGAACCAACTTCAAACTTGCTTGCTAAATTAGGCTTGCAGTTGTACCATGTACAAAGAACAATCTCTTCTACGAGTGTGTGGTTCTAAGAAAAAACGATGGTAAACACTCAATGTACCGGACCCTCCTGAAGACGAACAGAGCATACTGTTCGGAGCGTTGAGTGTTCACCATCGGTTCTTCTCAGAACCACGCACTCATAGAAGAGATTCCTCCTTGTACATGGTGCAACCGCAAGCCTTACCTAATTTAGTACTTCTGCCATGCACAGCTTCAAGTCTTATCTAAACTTGCTTGCTGGTTTTCACAAAAATATATCCCATGGTTTGTCATTTGTAAGTTGAGTGAAATGGAAGTGCGTGCAACTCAGCAGTGGCGGAAACCTATTCCCGAAACTGACGTGATGGTTCAAGCTCTTAAAATATCTTTTCAATGCCAAAGCATTTTCCACATTAATTCCAAAGTTCTGATAATCCCTTCTGATCACAAAACATTGCTCGGAATAAAGGGTATCCTTACTTGTAAGTTTTAAACTTACCTTGACTATCTTTGGCGGCAGCCCCTCCCTGCCAAAATACACACGGCCTTTTGTTGTCAGCACTGCAAAATCTCCATTCTTGTCTGAGTGGCAACAAGGTCGGAAAAGGGTTATAACGTATACCACTTGGAAAATATTTCCACAGCCAGCGAGGCAAGTATTAAACAACAGTGAAGTTTATCCATGAAATCTACACAGCTTAATTTCCGTCATAGGCTCATGCATAATTGCAGAGTGTAGACTCACGATCAGAAAACCATGTTAAAGACAGGAAGACTCACTGGAAATCACTTGATGGACAGTATCGTCATCAGCCAATGCTAAGGATGGGTCTCGAGAATGGACGACTGTCTTGATAACTGCTTTGCCTGTCGTTATTGGGGGAAAAAGACCAATGATTAAATGATACATTAAAAAAAATGGACCTTTGTATATATGTGAGGATAAATGCCAAACAATGCAATACCTGCGACAGCACTGTAGTAGATGTCTTGACTATCCCACACTACCAGACTACTAACTCCACTCTCCAGCTGAGCAAACGATGTCTGGTTCCCTGTCACATTAAACGGCAGTGCGAAGGGCTTGGCCAAGATAGCGTGTGTTGGATGAATGTAATCGTAGACAAACTGAGCACTAAGTGAGTCCTCTCTATCCACCAGGAAGGTGACAGTTTTCAGGGAACCGAAAATCGAAGCTCCCAAAATTTTGCCCTATGAAAATAAAGATGGAGAGAGAAAAACGAAGGGAACTTTCTTGTTAAATTAACATTGCTGTAACAGACAGTGAGATTAGAACAGTACTGCATAGCACACAATAACCCTTATTTTCTGTGAGTCCACGATTGCAAAACGAAATGCCATGATGTGACTGTTCAAGTCAAACTTGAGTCTGATGGACACAACTCTCAGTGCACTGAGCCTGGGAGTTGGCTGAAGATTTTGGAATGAGTGATGAGTGAGTGATCGAGTGAAAAAGGAAGAGATGCAGTGGGTGAGTGGGCGAGTGAGTGACAGACAAAATAATCTAATCCGTGCTCCCATGTGATAGAGTCTCTTCATGCAAATGACTAAATCTCCCAAACTCTCTGGGATGAACATTTCTGCTTCGAACCTTCCAGAGCCCCAAAAGCAAAAGCGGCCATACTATATTAAAGTATGCCTTATGCTAACAAGTCCACAGGTCATCTAGCCCTTTTTAAACCCTGGCATTTTATTTAGTGCATGTAATTGCATTTCTAAATGTACTCTTACCCAGAACACAGAGTGAAATATTTTTGAGAATATTGAAATAAAGAATGCAGGGTGTCCATAAAATGGAGATGGCAACTTTCATTCAAACAAACATGATGGAAGGCCTGCTGGTTATAGACGACGTACACTCACCTTGATTGGGAAGCCCAGCTGGAACTGTCGAATGGAAAAAGACTGACCTCTGTCGGATGACAAGAAGTAGGTAATTGTTGTCCGTGATGGGCTGTAACTATTGAAGGCAACAACTGAGCTGTCTTGCTTCTAAAAAGAAAAGGCCAAGACCAACTTTGCACCAGCTGGATGCTGTCACCTGTTTTTAAGTCTATCAGTTCCATGATAAAGTTTAGGCAAAACATCAACATCTCTTGTGTCATTTCTATGGTCATGTACCATCACTCCTGAAGGCTTAACATAATAAAGAAAAAAAGTGTTGCAAAGATATTGGAGAACCTTTACAGTCAGCTCTGTAGGGCTAACAAGGAACTCTTCCCAAGGGCTCATACATATCTTGAATGTTGACGGTTTTTGATAACCCCTACTACTATGCAGGACCTCAAGTTTGAGCAGTAATATTAGAAATATTGAAAATGAGGTTAATTGAAAAAAAAGTACATTTTCATGGATGGTAATTGCAAATTTCGCATGGAGCCTTTTGAAAGAAAAATTAAGAACACTTCAGATATTCTGTACCAGACACCACTCGGTGTCGCTATAGCAACACGGGAAGGATGCCACCTGGTTGATGTCCACATCGTCGGGGATGCCAGTGGCTCGGCTCAGCTGCTGTGTCCTCAGATTGTAGGTGAGGACGGTCCCGCTGACAGCCATGATGAGGTTATCACTGGAGAACGTGGCTGATCTTAACACAGGAGAACTGGTGCCTGCCTATAGGAAATGCATACAACAACCTTTGGGCAGGAATTATCAATGGCAATGACCAGTCTGGACAGCCTATTACATCACAAATCCTGTGCAATCTGACCAATCACAAGGCTTGTTCTAGCAGCATGCAATCAATTGTATGAGTACTTGATTCTGCGTTAGGGAGTGCTTTTCTTAAAAGTTACAGCATATGGAACAAAAACACTAATTAAAAATTTCAATTGTAACAATTTGATTGGCTCTGCAATCAAGCCTGACTACAAACGTAAACTAGAAATTCTAAAACATGTTTGTACCGATCGGATTTAAAATTAGTCGTTGCCAACTTGAGACATTTAAAGGTGAATTTGCACCATGATTACTGTATCAATAGGGAAAGGTCACTATGCCCATATAAGGTAATACTCCACACTGATGACTTATGTATATGCTAAAATAATCAATGAAAGACACAACTGAGCATGCTTGAAGTTGAATGCACAGTTGGAGCACAGGGAATCATTTTACCATAATAATACCAACAAGGACATTTCTGGGGCGGACCCAGGAATTTTTCTAGGGGGGGAGTCAGGCCAGAGATTTTGTTTTAATGTCTCATTTTTGCAGACTCTAGCCTCCTGGACATGAGGAGAATTTGCAGGATGTTCTTGTGTTTAACTTTACTTTTAATAGTTATTTTTCATCATTTCCCAACTTTTTAAAAGTTTTTTTCTCTACGAGTGGGGGGGAGGGTTTCGACCCCCTGGGATCCGTGCCTGCATTTTTATTGCACAATACATTCCCTCACAGGGTGCTCAGAGTTTACGGTTACAATACTCAACCTACAGCAGTCTGATGTTGCTATTTTCTCTTCTCCTTGTAATTTGACTTGTCCTTTTTCTTCACATGGGAATTGCTTTTTGTGTGTGTCAACCTAGACTTCCTGTTCGCTATCGTTGAGGGACCTTATAACTGCATGTTGTCAATAATCAAGGTCATTACAGGTACACCGTTTTCTGATTTTTGAAATCCAGTTTCAATATGCTAGTTGTTCTGTTTGCATGATGGCTCGGTCATATCTGTCCGAAACAGGAATCACAAAATAAAACATTGGAAGAAAAAAAGAAGAGAATTTCCCCACCTTCAAGAGGTCTGATGAAATGTACAGCGGGTCCAGTGCAGACTCAAAGCCATCTCTTGTGAGATATGCACCTCCTCTGAAGAGAAACAATAAAAAGAATCACACAAAAACAGATGTTTTAAAGCGACAAATAAAAAGTTGAGCCAAAACCAATAGCGGTTATTTAGGCAACTTAAAGTAATTCCAATCACGTAGGTTGCTGAACCAAGTTTTCAAACTTCACGTATGAATCCAGACTTCCATGTACTGTGTATATACTACCAGTACAAATGAAAAAGATTTTTACAAGACTGGCTGGAAATTCTCAAATTCTCTTACAAAGGCCAGCCATGTCAAGGTAATTTTGAGCAAGCAGCAGCAATCTACCTGGTAAAATGTACTCATTTAAGGAGCAAACTTTGACATCTCGGTTGAGCAAGACCAGATGAGAGCCCTCAATATACATGCTTCACAGATACAGTTAAGACTATAAACATGTACAATAAGCAGTTTCAATTTCTTTCTGCAACTAAAAATGTCGAGCTCTGGCAAATGTGATATGTGCAGTGCATGTATTAAAACTAGTACTGATACCTTAGATACAGAAGTGTATCCCTCCTGCACCTGTGATGCATCAGGATTGAGTGGTTGCCTTCGTGGGTAAGAGGGAGGCTGGCGACAGTTGGGCCATCAACAGGAAATGACCAATGATTGATGCTGTTGGCATTCGAGTTTGCAGCAACGAAGCTAGGAATGAAATTGTTCTCACTCGGATGGATGAACCACGGTATACCACATTTAAGTTTAACAAATCACTTTAATTTTGAAATTTAAATTCACAATCAAAGATTAAAAATTGAGACAAGGACCAGTTGCTCCTGCAGAAAATCTCGGAATTGCTTACCTCCCCTTTTAACAACTGGTCTACAACCCTGACAACTGAAAAGCAACGTTGGCTCATGATGAAAAACTGATGATGCATAAATATTGACTGCTCAAACTCCCAAAAGGACAAGCATTGCCGATAAATGTACTCAGACTGTAGCTTTTAGGGACAAATATTCCATCTACACAGTACCATTTCATTTTAAAATGCAATATCACAAGATTTTAGCTGGTAAGAGTTCCAAATAGTTTATAAGGACACCACTTGACACTGAGACTGGTCTGAAAAATTCTAAACTAGGCCCATTACTGCATTAGTCATGTAGGGCCTGTATCAATAACGTTATTCTAAGTAAACCATGCATGTCGTATTTTCCCTCCTAAATTGAACTTTTCTGGATATTATTTTGCTTTCTGGTGGCTACTAAATAGGTCACTGTAGGGAATAATTACTGGCGTATTACGATCGGTAGGAAGCTTGTAAATGAGCTACCGAAGACACGTCTAGCTCCACACCCCAAACTAGCCCTGAACTCAAGTTGGTGTGAATGTGATGTTTCCTAATAATGGAGGCTTTACCGATTCTGCATTTACACATGTAGATGTGCATTGACCGGACCAATCGCCAAATATAAACTACTCCCTATAAACTATAAATTCGTTCTGAAAGTAACATCTCTTTTACCAGTTTGAAAACAAAGTGACGAAGAAGGCACAAAATGGCATAGGATACAAGAATGCTGATGGTTCCATCGCAGTTCCTTGTTGAACAATCAGACCTCATTCATATGCATGCATGACGCGGCCGGCCGGCCTGCGAGCTGCACTCGTGAAAGAAATACTTAGCGCCCTCAATAGTTTAGGTTTAGCCAGTGTCAGAAACTTTCAACCAATCACAGCGCCGTGTTATATGTTAGTACAAAATCAGAGCTCCCCCATATTGGTACGGTATAGTAGACCAGCTTAAATCTGAAATCATTTTCCTTTCTGGAAAAGAACAGATATTACATCTAGCTTCACAAACAAGTTCCTTCAAGGGGTGTTAGAAAAGGGCGAAGTGGGTTAGTTCGTTGAGGTTCAGTTGCTGAATCTGCACTCTGGCATTAAGTTAAGTTTCTGCAATATTTATTTCGATATTTTTTGTTTTATTCAAAATAATTTGATTTCAAACAAAGTATACAAACGGCAACCAAACATGCAAATCTTGCTATTACACTGACTGCATTAACTTGAATCTGAGCTAAATTTGTAAACTGAGTGGTTTCATCACACTGACCTCCAATAATGGAGCTGTGGTCAGAAAATAATTGAACATAGCCACACAAACTTTGTTATTTCTTCGTATGTTTCTAACCTTTTCCGTTTTCATTTTTAAAACTTTGTGGGAATATGATCTTACAGGAAAAACTGGGAGTGTGCAAAACAGTCTATTGTAAGTTTAATCACAAGTATTTTCTTCTGTCCAGTCAAAAGCAGGACACCATGTACAGAAAAAAAAGCTTCTGCCACAGTTTATTTAAAAAAACGGTCAAATGCTTTGATTCGTGATGAACCTACAGGGACTACTGAGAACTTGTGCTGCACTCCACTAGGATGCCAACAGAGGGCGCTCTTGTTCCATTGCTCATGCAAGGGTTTGAGCAAAATCAATGAAGTGAATACTCTTTGCAAATTTTGCATGCATACACAGCAGCTATAGCTACACGCCACAGGTCCTTCTTCAGCTGTTGCTGGTGAACAATGCAGTAGCACAGTTACGTCACAGAATGTACACAATGGTGGTTTGGACGACAGAGCAGAGACATGACCTCAGTTCACATAGGACAGCAACGTCCTCAGTACTTCGTAAGTTGAATCCGTTACGTTGAGCAATGAAAATTTTATGCACTCTCTGGTCTTACTGAATTCTCAAGCGCAGTTTTGCACAGAATGCATAGCCAATTTGATTTATGAGTGTTTAAACTGGATTGATGCTGTGGCAAAAAAGTCACAAGGACAATGACTTACTACCTGTTTTCTGATTTTACAATGGAGCGAGAGGCCACATCTGAAGTGGCTTTTGTTAGCTACGGCTATGGCTACTAACTACTGGATGTCAATGGCAAAAAACAGGAGTCATTGTCACTGTGTGCCCGATGAGAATGATTTACAATACAAAGAGTTCCGTCCCATGTCTCCCCCACCCATCAAAATAAATTTCCAGCTCATCACTCGTTGACTTGCAGAACTAGGCAATGCTTTACCAGCTACAGTGCTTTTGAAGATATGGCTGGTGCCCAGCATGGGATATCAATGCAAGCTGAAGAACAAAAACCATGCCGTTATGATTGCAGCTTCCAAAGCAGATACAGGAAGGGGGCGCCACAAGATTTGGTTGCAAGAGCGAGGACAAGGTACGATGATTCAGAGCCGTATTTTCCAATCTTCCTACAATGTGCTCCATTGTTCTGTTGGCTTGTGACCTCCTATGATAGTTCAGCAATGTTGAGTCACTCCAATTGGTCTAAAGAGCATTTGGTCTAAAGAGGTGATCTCATTCGATGTTTGATGTGTTTGTTAGTGCTCCTCTGTTTCCTCCAGTAAAGCTCGCACCAAATCCTCATTGGACAACTTCTTGCCAATCATATCTGTGAAAAAAGTTGGATTTTGAAAAAAAAAAAGAAAGGGAGGATTGAAATTGCATGAAAAACTAAACAGAGTCTGGTACCATTCAAGACAACAGGTTACAATTTATATAACAGATTCAGGGAAAAAGATAAAAAATGGCATCCCCCGAATAAGGTCTATTTTGAAAAAAAATTGAAGCTCGGACTTACTCTGTACCAACAACGTTGGTTCCCTGCCCCCGCCGTGGGCCAGCATGTCCCAGCGGTACCGTTCCCCGGTATCCCGGCTCAGGGGATCGGCTGCAAAGCATTTGTGCCAAATGCTGGACGCCACGGCACGCGACAGCAGGTAGGAGTAATACTTGGCCCCGTAACCTACGAGGTGACCAAAACGTAAATGCCAGGCCTGGGTGAAAAAAAGAGAAATTAACAAAGATCAAACGACTGAATGTTTTCCTTCTGGGAAAAGAATTGATGTGTAACTTTCAAAACACTTTTTGAGCAAAATTTGTACATATTTGCCCCGAAAACCCTTGGATTCAAAGCAGCACGTAAATTGACCAGAATATTCAGTCACAGGATTGCAGGTTCGGCAGGGAATATATATGTAGATGACCTAACTTTGAGCAAGTCCTGTTCCTTTCTTCCTGTCAATATTATTTTAATAGTGTGCAAATGAAGATAAGAGCATCAGGTGCTAAAGAAAAGGCTCATCATCCTTCTACTCGAAGAGCAATCTGCACCTGGCTTGTCTCCGCCAATATGACAGAAAGTGGAAAAAATTCTTCTGACCCTAATCACCCCTAATGCTTTATGATCAACTAAGGATTTAAGGGAACCTCACAAGATGTGAAAAGTTACAGCCATCAAGCATTATGTTACAGAGGCTCAACGTGCCATGTGCTGGCTATTGAAAGAATCGAGAACACCAAGGGTGTTTAAAGTCGGAGAGCAGAAGTGGTTTACTCACTGTTCCTGGAACATGCTTGATGCTAGAATACTGGTTCTGTACCTCGCTCAAAATTTCAACGGTGGTCTGTAGGAGACAGAAACTTTAACACTGAGGAAAAGGTTGGTGGCCAGTTGCCAATTTTCTAAGCTCATGAAAGCGTACACAGGCTGTGAACCCTTCCCAGCATACATGTTATAAGCTCATGAAAAGGATAAAAAAAATGGACGGCTCCTATAAATTAGGATGAAGAGAAGATATCTTTCATAAAAGCCTCCACAAACTAATTGTTGACATATCAAATAGCCACTATTCGGCTTCACTTGAAGTGAAAGGGAATTTTGGCTCACCTTTCTTAATGGATGCTCCCCATGGAGGACTTGGTCTAGGATGGAATAGAAGACTTGGGTTTGCATGTCAAAGGCGGCAAATTGCTTCTTGGAGGTGCAGAGACGGGCTATCATCTCCTCGGGCAGGGTCTGTGGGATGGGATAATTAGTGAAGGGAACTATTTGGGACTCAAGATTCAAGGATCACTGGGGTCAGATCAAGAAATTTTTGTGGAGATTTGAGGGCTATTCACACAGATGCACTTAGGCGAGTTGTTGCTGGACGTGGAAGCAAAGCTAAATGTAAACATGAACAAGTGTGAGAATTTGTGATCTCATGGAAGTATTTATTCTGTGAACCCAAATGGAAACAAAACTTGTGACGATTTGACAATAAACACTTGGCGATGACCAACCACTTTCCCTTTTAACTACTTGTGAAGCAAATATCAAACCTTACACTTACAGTACACAATCTTGCACTTAGATTTATAAACAGTACCAGTTACAATTTCATACAAGCTCACAGCAAGAATAAAAAGGGGTCATTTCTTTATGGTCTTTTGGTAAAATGTTGGTTCAATTGGTTCATTTCTAAGACTTCACTTTTAGTTCTGTACATTTAAAAAGTTGGGCTGAATTGACTTGGAATAAGTATCACTTTTTTAACTTTTAATGATCTGTTTTCAAGGTATGAGATTTCACTTGACTTCTATAAGGGACTTTTACCTGGTCAGTTTTATGATGCCTGGCAAACTCTTTCAGGACTCTGTAATCGTTGGCAAAGTATTCCATCAGTATGGAGGGCACCTCGGCAAAGTCAGTGGCACAGCGCGTCCCAGTCACGTGCTGGTAGCGAGTCCTAGCAAGCATGGCTGCGGGGCAAGGAGAGGAATTTACAGGGCCCATTAGGTGGATTTTGCTGAGACACACTTAGTGTGCAAGTTTACACTCTTTATGAGATCTTTTCAGCATCCTTTTAGGTTGGAGAGTATTGCAGGGTGCAAATTTTGAAACATTTAAAAGACATTGCCCGATTGTCAGTTTACGTGTTTTTCTATTCAAATTGTGAATAAAAAATCTGTTCACTGAAAGCCTTTTTGAGCAAGGGCCACTCAGTGGCTTATCGCTGTGCACCTGCAGGACAGTAAATCACAAAACAACAGGAAATTTGGAACAAATTAAACATTCCAGCAATTTTCGTGCATAAACCAAGGCAACACTGAGGTTTTCCGTCTGGGTTGATGTCACACTTTGGCTCATGAGTGTGGAAATTGGCATTAGCATGAAAACCAGGACAGCGACAGAGCACCTTTTAAAATAGCCTAAACACAGAGATTGATTGAAATGCATAGGTAAGTTTTCAAGAACTGTAGAAAAAAACTACACTGCATTGACTCTTTAAGCAGTAACAGATTCATTTAATAATGCACTACATTATCCACCAGCATAGTAGTTTAGCTTAAAGTCATTATCACCCTAGATTGCTAAGCTCATCAAGACTTTTGGAGACAATGGTACCTCCCTACAGAGTGCACAACCCAACAAAACTTGTTCAAATACTAAGGTGAATGAGAACACATTGGGCAGGGCAAAGCTCCAAAATTAATTAACATCTCCCCGACACAAATCCATCCTTGGAAACAACGAATGAGAACGAATAGAACCTGTAACCATGCTGAAATGTTCCAAAGTTTGCAGACAACGGATAGCCCTCCAAAGATTTCTAACTGACGTTTTCCCAAAAAGTGGTTGTCCTGTTGTTCTGCATGTGAAGGAACAGCTGTGTTGATGACATTTATAAATGACTGTATGCAGAAGAAAAGGAATGTTTCTGCATGTGAGTGAACAGTCAAAACATATTTGATATCTCCCCTTGCTGTACAACTTGCAACCATGATCACAGCTGGGCTACTTACAGTGCATTGCATGGCCAAACTCATGGAAAAGATTCTCCATCATCTGAGCGGCGAGAAGGAAGATAAAAAAAAAGCCTCAATTTACTACAATGTACAAACACATTAACCCTAATCGGCCAGCCTACTTTGGCTAAAAACCCCTGCCAAATGCATCAAATTGTATCAAGTGGCTTGCCTGCCCAATGTAACAAGATCCAACAGATCAACTCTCCCCCAAAAACAAACAGCCTAGGAGTCTGTGGTTGCCAGTCACCACAAGATCCAACAGTGGCATTGCTAAATGGGACTAGCTCCCATTGTCTCATCATGGCCAGTTTGTGTGGCTGCTGTTGATTGCCAATCACACTTTTCCATCTGATGGACTGTACTGTATCTGGCAGGCTCAGGGTTAAAGTTCATAAAATAATGCAAAAATGCACATCCGTGTGAGCAAAAATGGACAAACCCAAAGGCATCTGATTAGCTTTGCAAGAAAGGAGACAAAAACTAAAAGAGGTAAATCTGAGATGCACAAGATTTCAAAGAACATGCAATGTTCGTAACTTGTCAATGAAATTACCAACAAAAACGCACGAAATGGCGTTGTATGGACAATCTAACTCTCTTTCCTTGCACCAGCAAGCCCTTATTTTGTCTTTGGCCCAATTTTGTCAAACTTTGCTGGAATGACTCACAAATACAAACACTCAGCTTCAAAATATGACACATATTCCAAACAAATTTGGTGATTGTCAAAAAACCCCTGAACCTGTAGCAAAAAATTACACATTTGATGTTCACTTCAAAGATCAATTTTTGGAGGACATAAGTACGTATTTTAATTTCTTTGGTTAGAAAATAACCTTCGTAAGATAAACTTTGAACTATCCACCACATTGATAAAGTGAGAACAAGTAAAAAGCTACAATTAGAAAAAGAAAAACACTGTACAAACCCCGTGACTCAGCAGAGAGGGTGCACCTTGTCTCGGAGGACTGCAACATAAAAAAAAATTAATTGGCATTGTCAACGTCACTGGTTTATTGCACATTGTGCAAACTGGGTAAATTCAATATGACACAATGCTTGATAAAAAGCTTTTAATCCCTTCACGCCGAGTTTCTTTTGACTATGACTGCTGTGCTGCAATATGCCCAGTATGCAAAGCTCTGTCCAGCAGCAGGCCCCATTGAACCAGCAGCTGCATGGTGGATAGACCGTACATGTATGTGGTATGCACTAATCCTCACACAAAGCCGCGGCTGTGGATGGCTCCCCGTATGAAGGGGTTAAGACAATTCTACGTCTTGGTCTCGTCTTCTGTTATGATATGAGGCACCAGGTTGGTTAGACACACAGGGCCGCAGTAAGAATCTCATTCAAAGTATCTAAATTCTTGTCAAGCCTAAGGTTTGTCTTTGGGTTTGGGACTGTGCAAACCACCTGCATGGGGTCTAAGGTCTCAGTGTTGTTGAACAATAAATAGGCCTAGGCATTGATGACATCAGTCTCTGTTTACATGTGCACTTTACTATGGAGCCAGCGGGAGCTCAACGTCCACTGAGCACAATAGGAAAGCACATGCATAAACAAAGTGTGGCTAATCAGTACTGAGGCCTATTAACCACTTGCTGCAGGAGGGGGGGCAGTTTTGGAGACATTGGGGTCCCGAAATCGGACAAAGGGAACTAAGCCTTGTAACAAGACTGTACTCAGAACAAAAGACCGAGCTGCTGGGAATTTCCAACATTTTTTCAGTTGTCAATAGCGGAGGAAATCCGTCATTGTTTTGAAAGATTATGCCACTGTTTGCCACATTCAGCGCAAGCGGATTACCACTGGGGACAAAAGCCCTCCAGTGATGAACGATACAATACCCCTGCACGCTAATCTGGCCCCTATTGAAAAGATGTCAGCAGCGCACTGTGTCGGTTTCGAGAACAAAAGAAAAATACATAACACCGCACAATCTGGGCTCTATTTACAAGGTGGCAGGCCTGGCTGAAATACTCGGGCGTTAATAGATGTTGTCTGTCAGATTAGAGTAGCCACCAGACAGTCATTCATGTGAGTGTAAATGTACAGTAAATGAAGTTATGAATTTTCAAAGAATTTTGAAAAACGAGGAAAAAATGAAACATCACCCGGCCCAGGAGAATCAACATGGATAAATGGGCCCTGCAGGAAGTGGTTAAAACTTGTCACTGGTTTTACTGCACAAGGTTCCCACTGGGGAAGGTTTAGGTAGCAGGTTTGCAAATATGCCCCTCCCCCCTGGGACTAGGTCAACAGATATGGTGCACCTGAAACTGCAGACCAGAACCACTTTAGGCAGTTGGTAGGAGCCATCGTCTAGTCTCCGGCCTCCCCTTATGGTAAAGTGGCAGTCCTGCTGAGGCTTGCCGGGGCGCTCAAACAGGTCGCAGTAGATGTATCCCATAACTCCTTCTGTTTCGTGAGTCACTGCCTGGGGAAGAGAATTTCAGCGAATTAAATACTGCATATCAAGTGCAAGCTTGTTTTGGAATGTCCAGCTAAACATGAGCAATTTGCAGTGCACGAAAACTCTGTTCAGTGGTCAAAATTCAGCTTTAGAATTCAACGTTTCAAATAAACCACGAACTTCATTTGTACATCTGTGATGGCAAACATCGAAGCAACAAGGACTACCCCAAACAGTTTTTGTAATTTGTTATTCTGAGAATACCAAAACTTTCATTACATTTCATGGCATCTCAATGAACGCGTATACTGGCTTGCTACCACACATGATTATTTTATTGTATGGCACTGTCCGAAGGAAGCTGACCACACAGTTAAAAAGCATTATTCTTACAACAAACATCTAGTGGTTCAATTTACGGCGACTACAAAATATCACTGTAATACCTTTTGAAAATTGATTCCTTTTGTTTTTTATTTAGAAACTCTGTACAGGCTATCTGAAACTGATATCATAATAAATGATGGGGATCAGATTGAATGTGGCTCAAATTATGAATATGAACCACAGGCAACACAGAAACAAAAAGGGTGAAGAAAAGGGTGTTCAGTCCTTCACAAGTCCCTGCAAGTCATTCCTTTGTCATTTCTCACTGGTCTTGTGAACGGACTTGTGGATGGGCTTGACAACAAAGCTGAGAGGAAGTACCAGTTTCAAGACATCTGGTGCCCAGAGCTCTCCCCGTTCGGCCTCCACATTCTCCAGTGTCACACCATACAGTTTGCTGAAGATCAGACTGAGACCATCCATGCAAGCACCGACCGAGAAGTAGGGGGCGTACTCCGAGTTTGTGATATGATATCTGCGGCCATAAAGTACTGGGCAGTTTAATTTTCATAGATTCCACAAACACAATTTGACATGTGAACATATTTTAGGAAAAGAAAATTGCTCTGAACTTTATCAACATAATAAGAAAATCCTTTTCAGTTTGATTTTCAACAGCAATCTTTTAAAAAAGATTGAAAGTGTTCCATTTCAGTTTTACTTTGCCACAATCCCAGATGAACATGATCACAATCATAACCCAAAATATAAGCTCACTTGAAAGGACCATGGCACTGCCCTGTGCTGCAAGTGGCAACAAGGTCAGGTGAAATACTGCCATACATAGCCATATTGTATTGTGATTTGATAGTAAGAAAAATATACATATGCGGTATCACAGTGACATGTATGTTCAGTATATTCCACCATCACTTATCAAAGTTACCTACTCTACAAAATTTAAGAACCACTTTCTCTCTGAACTTGTATTTTTTTTCCAAGCAACAAGGGTTTAGTTCTTTCATTTTTTTCTTTGTGTAAATGGTGTTCTCATTGGAATAAAAAATGAAAAAATTCAGGACAATTGTATTGGATTATTTTCAGCAGTAAAATATCTCATATAAAAAAGTATACACAAAATAAAAGTAGTCTTTCACTTTTTTGAGTATTGTAATATTTACTGGGTGTACCAAAGAGATTTGACATGACAAATCAGGGTAAAGCAGGTCTGTGTCCAGTTGCTGCCTTGGTAAAAGGGTGAGCCCGGGGGCAAAATACCTCAAAGCTATGGCACACCAACCAACCATCCAAATACAAATGGTGCAATGAATATAACAACTGCTTTAAATGTTGGGTATTATGGTCCCACGTGAGGTGTCAAAGTACAATAAAATTCATGATTTACAGAAATATTGGCAAAGCGTATATACCTCTTATTCCTCACAGCTCCGATGTAATACGAAGGATCCCAAGCAAAAATATCCTAAAAGAAAGACACATGAAGGACAAGATTCTTGAAAAAATGGATAAAACCGTCACCGTTTTGACAAAGTCATAAATCCACCCAAAACTGAGATTTTAAGCATTTTGAGATTTGGATGTCCTCGCATTTTACAATGTACTGGACATGAATACCAAATTAGAAGACAAATACACTGTATAACATCGTTTGTTAAAATTTAATGTGCTAATTTCACAGAGCAGCATGCACAAAAACACATGTGCACTAGTGATCTCATAGCAGGTCAGTATGTCTATACCAAAAGAACTGAAGACTGTGCAGTGGTGGTTGCGTTGACAACGGTCAGTTGAACTGATAATAAAATGCATCATCTTTGTCTTCTTTCACCAGACTTCCTCACGCCCTGAGCTTTTACAAAGTGTCTTTCGGCACCAATGCTTTTGATGAGAAGTTCCTTGCTTTCATTTTGACAAAAAGTTATAATCAATTCTGATGGTGGAAATTGTTAGAACTCACCGGGTTAAAGGGATTACACTCTTTCTTCATTTCCTTCATGAGCTCAATTTCCTTGGAAACTCTATAAAACCAAAAAATGCAATTCTTGAAACACTTGATAAAATATAGGGCTGAGTCAATTTGAGTAATACACCAGTCGAATATTCGACCTTCAATTCGACCAAATATCCGAATATTCGGTTGTAACGACCACCAGACTGTGGAGGAACAATACACAAAATCAGTTGCAAAAATGCACACAATTGTACATTATTATCAATATACAGGTAATAGCTTCTCATATCCTGGAATATCTCCAGCCACGATTTAGCAAGATTAAGAACCTGAGAACAATACTCCTTGCCCTGTTGAAAATTTCTATCCCTTTTAAATTGTATAATGAATGATTTACATTTTGAATCATTTTTCATTTGAATCTGCTCGAAACAAGCCTCCATAGTGCAATTTTTCTTATTTAAAACAAAGGAAATTCCCAGTTCTTTTTCATGAATTTTTCATTTGAATATTCAAATTTGAAAATAAAATTTGAATATTCGATAATCAAATGAATATTCGGATAGTTGGATATTTGGCACAGCCCTAATAAAATGCACAACTCAAAGACAGCCTGACCCTGAAATAAATGACTGGATCTCTCAAAATGAGACTTCAGGCCCATTTTTTCCCAGTGTTTTTGGTTTTGATTAGAAAGAGCAAGATGAGCCCTTCGGTTTTAAAGCATTACTCGATCGGCTGACATCCTGGTACTAACTGCTATGTGGGTGGAATATGTCGAGGGTGAAAAATGGTGACGGTGAAAACTGTTAAGGGCATTTAACTTCAAAGTGTCCTTGGGGACTTGTGACTCACTTTGTTAGATTGGTCACATAATTGCTGATGTGGTAACAGGTCACAGAAGAAGTCACAAGTCTTGAAAATATCCACAATGTTTGTCATACCTCTTTGAAAACCGTGTTTCGGGAGAGAAATTGTTTGCGGGTGCACTATGGAACAGAAAGAAGTGTTGACTCTAAAGAGCTAGTGGTGAGTTTTTCCCGACGAAAAAACACAGCACACAGTTGAAAATATCGACACCTTTTCTCCCTACTGGCCCTTCTCAGGGATAACCACGTCTATACTGCTTCTATGATGTGTGACAAACAATATCTCCCTGTATACAACTCTGCCATACAAAAGCTTCAACCGATAATTTCTTCCAACCTGTCAAATAATCTGTCTCCGGTTGACGTCAGAAACTGCATGACGTTATCTGGCGTCTGGGCCATGGTGCCACGCAAGGCCCGCTGGGCGTAGGAGGAAAAACCGACTAGGCTGGCCAGCCTGTGCCGGGAATCTAGGAGACGGTCCAAGAGCTGGGACTGGGTGGGGTTGGGGAAGAGGAAGATCTTGTAGGCAGCCTCACGAACCTGTCCAACGAGATGATCCCAGAGGAAATCAACTGATCACCATAAGCAAAACTGAAAACCCGTGGGGATTATCTAATTGTCAACCACTTGCAGACAGAAACTGTGCCTGGTATGGTATTATTTTAACCCTAACACTCCTCAGTCCTCCAACAGGTGAAAGATTGAGGAGGGTAGGGTTAAAAAAACAAAGATACCTCACCAACATCTTTACAAAGTTGGACTTTCTATTTTGACCCTCGGTGGTCATTTGTTCAAGACTGCCTGGCATTTCTTATCATATCATCACTTTCTCAGACACTAAGACAATGTCATTACAGCTACAATGCCCCGCCACGGCACTTGGCCACTTGAGGGCTCCATACATGCTCAACCTCCACGGACGAGATTAAGCCTCTGTGTGCGTACAAACTCAACAAGGAATCACTCAACAGTGGGAACAAGAATGCATATCATCCATCACTTCATTAAGAATTTGCCAAGATCTGTTCAGATGACCTCTTGCACAGGAAACTCCTACATGCTACACATTTCCCCTCCCACCCAGTAAGTAATTATAAGCAGTCAGTGCCACATTTCCAAGATGCCTAAAACTCCAGCTGGGGGTTACAGGTTTCAGCAGGACTTAGGAAGATAGAAACTGGTTACTGTTACTCTATAAACACCGGTATAAAAATGTGTCCTGGGCTTTCAGCATGGCAGTGGATTTGGGACAAGTTTGGAAGGTCCCATGCAAGTTAGGAATAACATTTGACAGTCAAACCTGACCTCTCTTGCGAAAGATGACAGTCTGCTCTCTTGCTCAGGGACATATATACCTCAACAGGTGCGACACCCACAACCCCAGAACTTCAATAAGACCCTTGATGCTTGAGCCCAATACACTATCGGCATTCTCATCCGGAAGTTTCCTAAATCCTACCCAATCTTCCTCATCTTCCACTTCCCCCCCCCACAGATATATCCTTTGCAATTGACTTTTCAAGGTAGACGAGAACCAAGTGGCTGTGAAGTCAAATAGTGGCTGGACTACCTTCTCTAACCTTCCACAACCTGGACCGCATTGGTGAAGAGAATCCACCGCCCTCAGCAATCTTACCAGGTCGCTGGGGTTATCGCCATACAGAGAACCGATGGCGACGTTCTCCCCGTCAACGGCAAAGGAGTGCTGAATGTGTTGCGGCAGACGTCTCTTCTCGATGGCATTGGCTGTCTGCGTTCCTTGCACAAACTGGCTCCCGAGAATGTGGATCACTTCATTCAGTCTCACAAACTCTTGCCTCTGTCAGTGAAAAACCAATTGAAGCAACATGTAATCTTTGTCGCTGTGACAAAAACCACAGGTGACTTGAACATTGGCTATTGCAGAAATCTAACTGCAACATCATATGTACAGTATTCATCACCTCTTTCAATTTTTACAAGTAACAAGTATGCATTTTCTGTATACAAACAATGCTTCCTACTTGGTTACAAACCACACAGATTGAATGTTTAAATTTACCCTTCTCACAGCACTCCAAACCTCATCTGCAGGCACCGACTATCTGACAATTTTCACTTTGGCTGCTCCATCATAATGCATTGGAACTAACTTCTGGGAAAATTCATTTTGAACACTTTGCAGTTGTTGTTATTAGTTGGCTCATACAAATGTTCCATTTGTTTCCATAGAAAACCCAATTACCCACACTTCATCTGCTGCATTGAAAATTGACAAATCTTGACGTTCACACCACAGTTGGAGTACAGGACTGGCTGACTGGTTTTGGGTTTGGTTTTTGTCAACGAAAGTTTTCTGTTCTGTCCAGACAGACATGGGATTATTTTACAAGCTGAGAAGCTTTGGAAGATATGGACCTTTAAAGAAACTCACCCTGTTCGCATACAAACCATAGCAGGTCCTATCTCAGACCAAGTTTCCACTGCACCCAGTATTTCAGAAGGAAATGTGAAGACATGCTTTGCCCATGTTCAAGATTTATGTAAAAAAAATGGGAGCTGGTAAAGTTTGACCATGCAAAACCTGCCTATCCCAATTAAATTTTGCCAGTCCTCTCCAGGTCAAGCGGACAACCAGCTAGATAAGATGCTGAACTGAGGTTGATATTTATCTCCGCCCCCCAAAAATCCCCAGGTTTGAATCTTCCTTTTAATACCTTTGCCTGCTCAAGGTGTATCCCACTCTGCTCAAAGTCAAACATGAACAGCCTGGCCACAATCTGGGACTCTTCGTCCATGGCTGAGAAGGTAGCAGTGTCGTCTAGCAATCGCTGGAGGGACTCCTTCAAGTCTACGTTTGTGTTCAACCTGCTCAAAAAAAGGAACACAACTACTTCCGAACACGTTGACACTCCGTTTACATACAATGTAGGTGTCCAGCCACAAACTGTTTCAGCTAAAGGAAATCTGGTCTTTATAAAAACACATCTATGCTTTTTACATCTATTATGCTTCAGTCTAGGACCCAATTTCATGACACTGCTTAGCATGCGATTTCATGCTAACAGAGGCTCCATGTATTTCATGGAGACCATAAACGGTAAGAACAGCCAAAGGCATGCTAACATTGGAGGACAATGTTGCTTAAACTTAGTGATGTAACAATAGAAATGTCTACGCGCACGCAACCTTTAGCACAACCACGCTAATCAACGCCATGAAACAGTGTCTAAGATAGCAAATTTTTCTGCTAAAGGTAGCACAACTTTTCTTCTAACTGTTCAGCAGCTCCGTGAAATTGGGCCAAGTTTGGCAATTGGTAACAGCTAACTCTAAAACTGTACCAAACACTGGGTGCAATCTGTGCATGGGCCCTTTTTGTTCAATGGAAGGTCGAGGATACCAAATCAAGATTTGGTTGCATGTGAATGTGTGCAAACCTGTAAACAGCATCTGGAGAAGGAAACATCCTTCTCTCTACATGCATTTCAGCATGAACAGCTCTAACCGGTGCCGTGACAGTCCAAACCAGACACCAGGGCAACTACGGAATCTACTCCGGCTTCCATAAAATCTAGGCCGCATACGAGCAGGACTTACTGTTCAACCATTGCACTGATGTGTACGCAAGCGTCTTCAGCCGCCCTCGCAAATCGCTGGTCTGGGTGAGCCACTCGGACGAAGTCAGCCTGAAAAATATCAGTGGCTTGGAAAATTAAAATGAACACTCTATGCAGACTTGGAAGAGACACTAGTCACTTTGGCGGAAGGTGGCACAAGTATTAAAGATGAGCCAGAGTTACAAAAGGCAATTTCTTCATCGTAAATGTCTGGCCATGTCACAATACCAGCAATCATCAGCAATAAAACTTGACTTGCAAATTTTGTGACCAGCATGAACTTGAGTGATGAAATTACCAGAATGGGCAGTTGGTGGAACAATAGAGTGAGAATATGGAGTGCCATCTGTCTTTCTTTCGTTGGTGAGGGCGCACTTCTGCTCAGGGGGGATAACTCATTGTGGGAAAAGTTTTAAACTTTTTTCAAGCACCAAGTTTCAGAATGATGCATCGGTGATTTATCATTGACTGCCAGTGTAAAACGGGCAGAAATATCTCATCACAACTGATGTACTGGGTGGGATCTGAACCTAGGTCATGGAGGTGAACAGGGAAAAGCACTAATGTGCCAACCTGATCCATCAAGGATGAACTATAACCCCTGGTATCCCCCCTCCAGCTCAATGGGATGACCTTTAACCCTACAACCTTGGAAAAGACTAGGTGGGATTCGCAACAGGAACATGAAATCAAACAACAGGGAACAGCAGTACTGTGCCAACCCAACTCATCAGGGATGAAATATGACCCCTTACTGCCATCTCCACCTTCAAGGGTTGACCTTTGACCCTACAAGCTTCGGTAGGACTTACCAAGTCAGCCACTCTGCACAGGGCATCAGAAAGCTTGTCAAAGAGGACCACAATGTGGGCGCTGGTGGGGGACCGGATGGCCTCTTGAACAAGCTCTTCCGCCTCCTGGACGGATACCCTCTGGGCCTCCGCAAACCCTCCTGGGCTGGTCAGCTCTGGCATCCCAAACAGACCCTGTGGCAAACAGAATGATATTAGAGTCCCAATCTCTGAGAAAAGGTGCTTATACCGGAGGAAAATCAAATTATATACAAAGTCAGCACTGTCCTCAAATCAGGAGGGTGGACCCATCACGCAAAGGAGGTAGGTTGGTGGTCATACAGTAGATCCTTTATCAGATGGTCAATTTGCATATAATGAACGTCATCATAATCAAATTCAAAAAAACAACAAAAGGCATTCAAAGAATGGGAATATATTAAACTTACATCGTGGACGATGATCCCTTTTTTGTGTAGATTAATGAAAAATGCTTCTGCAGAGGCATCGTTGACGAAAAAAGTCATACAACTGAATACTCGATTGAATTACAGTTTGGATTTTAAAATATTCTCAACTGTTTGATCTGACTCAGCCCTAATGCAGTAGGTGTAATCTGATCAGGCCCATATTTTTAAATTGTTGGATTTCTAACGCATCACCCTTGCACACGTTGCGAGCCTTAACATTTGAAACAATTTTCTTAGTGAACTTTGCTCACAAGCCACCTGCATATCATGCACTGAAACAACAAAACCAACAAAGAAAATAAACTTCAGCTGTGCAAAATATAAGAAACTGTGCCAAAAAGCTGTAACACTGAGGGTTTTTTTCTTAGATGACATCACACTTTGCTAATGAATATGCAAATTTCAGTACCAAAGTTTATGCCCTTTACCCAAAAATATGGTGTACATGTACATGTACATGTACAAACGGGCACAAAAATGCCCGAAGAAAAAAGCAAAAACAGGTCATTTTACAAACTACATTTGCATGTATGAGTGTATATATACATGTATGTAAGATGACCTCTGACACAAACGATACTCACCACATTCTGTCCACTTGTTTCTAGTTGCCTCTTGGGTCTTGCATTGAACGCTGATGCTAGGGGTGACCATGTGGTTACCCTCTGGTACTTGTGACAGGGATCAGGCCTACTCCCGACTATGTATTGAGTGGGACGGAGTAGACTGTTGGTGAACCGTGCCAGGTGGCCAAGCCTGGCTGCAGACATGACACCACTTCTCTGTGTGGCCTATATTCTGAAACTGCAAGTTATGAAAATACTTTTTTTTTCTGACAAACTTGTGAATGGGTATTTGAGTGGAAGAATTTATAAACTACAAAGGATTTTGTAATTGTTTATATGGGACTGAAAAATTTTGGTAAAAGTACATGTATGCCACATTTCCAGACACCAACAGTTATGGGTTTTGAGTGAAATTCATGACACCGAAATTGTTCACAAAGGTTGAACAGCATATTTCACGAAGGTGAAATTTTACATGTTAAAATGTTTTTAGCCACAAGTTTCAAGTTTTCCAAGAAAGAAGTTCGGCAACGCTGGGTGATGGAAGTCAAGTGAAACGTCGAAGTGCGCCGCATTATGGGACTCTAAACAATAAAACATTGTTTCAATAGACTCCACGTCACAAGCCCTTACCCAAGTGCTCTATTGCCTGATCAGTAAAGTGCTACTCCATACAGATTTGTGCTTTTACACCCCACCTACAGCATCAGTTCCAACTGGACCGTCCCAACTACATGTATAGTGCTACAGTTGGGCCGGCCCTACTACAACACTGTGAGTGCAAGCAAAAGTCATTTTGTTCACATCAGCAACTCGTGCCTGCAGAAATGAGTTTTTATACATAATGAAGTGCCATATTTTAGACGAATTATGTCAGATGTGAGCTGCATAAACTCAGGGAAGGTTGCGAAATTTTCTACAGAGATTGGCCAACAATAGTTGGGCAAGCCCGGGGCACGTTTAGGCATGAACTACAATGTATAGGTCAAGCAGTAGTCAACTGCTTTTTAATACTGCGCATGCACAATTCTGTTAAACTCAAACAACCCTAGTGGGTCAATTTTAAAATCTCACTATTACTCACATTTTACCGTTGGCTGGTCACTGCAATCTCGAACAATTACTTTCATGTGAATGGTTCCCTTTGTAATGATACATGAAATTGGCTATTCATGATAACCAGTGGTGCAACCATACCCCTGGGCCTGGTCCCAATGCAAGTGGTTGACTAGATAGTCCAAACCATCTATCGTTGGGGCGGTGTTAGTCAAACTACAGTTAACTATAGTCGCCCCTCAGACTTGTCCCCAACTGCAGCACTATGAGTATGACTATACATTGTAGGTGGGACAGACTCTATAATTGGGGGCAGGGTGAACATCAGACCCACACTTAGTTCTGGGGGTACGGTGGTGCTCCAGCTACTTTGTCTTGGGCTTGTTAAGCGCATTCTTAAAACCTTCATGTTTATGACTTCATGCAAATTTTGTACTCCATCCAAAGCACTCATACCTGTAGGATTATAAACTCAGACGGGAATATCGAAACGAATTTGCGCCTTGAAGATTGCACTTAGCTTATCGAAGGCCTTAACTATGTTAACAATAACACTTCAGGCACGTGGCTTATTATCATCGTGTTATCACTCTCAGTCAGGGATGTGCGTGGGGCGCATCGATTATTACTTTTAAAAATGCATTAATCGTGGACAATCATCATGATTCCCAAATTCAAAGACGAAAAGTAAGAGGGGAGCATCTTCGGGGGGGGGGAGGTGTTTTCTTACCGCCTCTGCTCTTTACAAGAATTAATCGGTCAATGCATGGTTAATGTTACTTAGCCAAGTAACTTGGGCCACAAAAGTCTTTCATCTCTGGGCGGTCTGCCAGCTGCTCCGCGCACATCAATTTCAAGTAACCGTACCGTACGCGTCAATGACAAATGTTTTTTCTCGGCGAGAGCTACAACAGCGCCCTCTGTTGCCGCACTGCGTTAACATTTTTTTGCTGTCCCCGTAAGGGTGCATTGAAGTAATTCAAGCTCCATTGAAAATACATGTAGTGTAAAATCAACACAATTTGGAGTCCCATGGCAGGCAACTGAAGTCCCTGAGGCCTCTCAAACAAAAAACAATGTGTTGTTTGGTCCTTCAGATTTCATTTGATTTTGAATTTTTAGTTGGTTATACCAATTATTTTTTTTAATTATCCGCCAAAAACAAACTCACCCCCAAAAGTGAATGTTCCCAAATCTTCATGTTTCAAATGACATCTCTCACCTTACGCAGGGTCTTCAGACAAATTTTCAATTACATTTTTCTGCTTTGCCCCCAGAAGGGTGCCCCTGAATCTACAGAGATGATCCTGGACGATACTTACACAATCCCACAATTTCTTGGTCCACACCGTTCTATGTACCAAAGAATTTCATATGAAAGGAATGGTATCGCTAAGCATCAGATGTACTAGGGACCCCGTGTGAGCCGTTTGTCGACACAGTCAGTGACGTCAGCAAAAATAACGGCCATTTGAGCCAGAAAGTGTACTTTGAACACCCGTCAATGTAGCAATACAGACTTACAATCACTGTATCAATAAATCGTTCTTTATTTCAAAAAAATTCTGATTTATAAAACTCAAACTGTTTGACATTAATAAGGCATTAATTACATAAGCAGATCATTGGATAGTTACACACTGACGAGAATCGCATTGAAAGTTTTTCGAGGCATACCGAATACAAGTTACAACTTGCTAAGACCAACATTGAAATGTTCTTAATTTTGTTAAAGGTTCCCTGCCATGAATTTTTCTTAGACTCCTTTTTGTCACACCTTCACATTCATCTTCAATGCACGAAAAAAAAAAAAATTGGAGTGAAGTGTACTGTAATAATTTATACACTTTTTAAACATCAAAAAAAGCTTATCCGAATACGTGAGGGTGCTGTTGCTGAGCCGTAAATGTAAATCGGAGACGACCCTGTTCAAATTTTGGACACCATATTTGCTCTCTGAAAACGTTTCTCAGAAAAGATTGCTCGCTGGCTTTTAACCATACAAGGATTCCAAAATACTGTTTAAAATAGCAAACAAATATTGAAAATAAGGTTACTCGAAACTAAAGGTGTATTACGAGCGATTCACAATAAAGAGCCTCCAAGAGTTTGCAACGCGTTGGCCAGCTTGTAAAATCTATCGACCCTTTCCAAACACGCATTGGGTCGACAGATTTCGCGCATTGTGATTGGCCAACGCAATGTAAACTAATTGGTGAGGCACAACTGTAAATCTCCCGTATTCCAAGTAGTAAAAACAACCTAACGCATCCTTTCCAGGCATACAAATTTGCCATACAGTAAAAATTCCAAGATCAAGTTTGATGCATTGCACACATGAGATTTTTTATTACTTAGGAGCTGAAATTTAGATAATGAACAAATGGTAGACCTTTCATAAACAACTGTAGAAATATAAAAACAACTCTCCAGTCTATCCATCAGCATCGAAAGAAACCAAAAAAGTAAAGGCAATTTGTTTGTGAGATCAAATGACATCAGAATTATTTACAGATTCATTCGTGAGTGGTTTCAGGGGTGGAGCCACGAGGGGGGTGGGGTGTATACACACCCGTCAGATTTTTTATGCCCGATTGTCCAGGACGGGTTGACTCAAAGACATTACGTTGTAATCTTATTGATGAACAATAAACCGTTCCAGGATGCCATCTTTATGTTATTATTTCTACAATTGTTATTTCATTCATTTATTCTATTTTCCTTGTTTTTGGTCCGATAGGGAAACCCCTTCCCAACTCGATCCCCGAATCCGTGCCTGAGTTGTGCTCAAGCTACTTGTGCGCCACTCACATTGGTTGGCAAAATTCCAACTGAATAATTAAGACACAAAATGCTGTGTGCTTTTCAAACTCTGCTCATCTCATAGTTTAAAAAAGTCCTCACAGGATTAATTACAATTCTTTAACCCTACTAAAAAAACACATGGTTTATAAATCTATATTCATACCATTATCATGTGCATAATTTATCATATGTACCACATTTACATAAATATCCCATATGTACTTTGAATATTTGTCAAACAAATCACTTTGGCACCGATTCATATTAAATTGGCTCATCATTCTTACGTGTGATTACATGTACATACATCTTCATATATGAACACATTCTGTTAAAAATGAACGAATTAAAGGTTGGCTTTTCACTTTGAAATATGCACCTAACTGTTCTGATGGAAGAAATTCTGGTAAGAGATTGTCACCTGTGTCGTTTATATACGTGTAGATTTTAGCCAGGAACAAATGTTCAGGAGCTGCAGTGGATAAGAAATGTAGTGCTTGGCAATGCCAAGTGAACACAAAAATCAGATGGGAGCCAGTTACATACAGTACACACTATGATGATACTACAAGAACTATTGTGCTCCGTAATTTCATGTTAAAATGAAGAAATGATACCCTTTAGAGCCAAAAACCTGTGCGGATGATGTTATGGTGTAAAGACTAGCTGTTTCAGCCACCAGGTGCGCCCTCTAGTGGTGTTAGTAGTAAGTGGCAGACCTTTCCCCTACCTACATGTACCATGGTGAGAGTAAGGAATGATACTGGAGGACACAGTGGCAATTCCAGATCAGTGTCTCGTTTCCGGATGGGATGATGTTCTTGGATCCTATTGCTTCATGGACTAACATTGCATTACATTTATTTCCTCCTCATGGCAAAATACAGGTACATGTAGTAACAATGAATGAGACAAAGAGACCACCACAGGTGGCAAAACCTTAATAGCAAAGCTTGTTTCCATTTGTCCAGATATGGACTCAGATATAGACTCAGTTCTACTGCCATCTGATATAGGATGTTTGGTTTTAGGATGTTCTTGGATGACAGTGTTTCATATAGGTAAGAGATTAGGATTACAGTGATCCTCAACTCTGAGTGCTCCCTGATGTACATGTACATGGATTATCTGAAGAGTTCTCAAATCTGCACGCCTTCTTGATCCTTCCCACTAGGTGGGGGGACTTCCGGTTTGCAAGAACAGAGGGTGCACCTGGGGGTCAACTGAAAAGCCATGTAATTCGGTCAAAATACTCCGCACATCATAACGTCCTCTGCACATATTTTTCCTTCATTTAGATACACTGCATTGCCTTGCAACCAGTGTTGTAGTGGACTGAGACCATTACAAGACCAGACCAACAAGTAACAGGGTGAACAGTGACAAAGGAATGCTTGTGTTTTATTTTTTTTGACCAGCTTTGTGACTGTACATGTGGGTCTTACACTGGCCAAGGTATGGATTCATGGGGTCATGGGACAGTCTTAAGAGGTGTCAACTAGAACACGAAATTGCAACCTATCTTCATTCACTGATTACATGTATATACATGTATCTCTGGTATTCAACATTTCATGATTGGCCTTTCCTCAGACATGGTTCTTGTAGCTCTAATCCCACACCTTTCAGGTTTGACTGGTCACTGGACCACTACAACATGGGCAAGGCCTTTGTCTACAAGATCTACAAATTTTCTTGTAGATGGGCTATCAGGTATCTTAATGCCCGTTGGCCAACATGGAAGGCCTGTCCATTAAGCATTCCATGCCAACCATTGTAATAGTTGGTGAATTTGACTTTGACACCAGCTTGCTCTAAACGTGCGGCGTATATGACTGCATCGTCTCGTAGTCCATCGTACTGACAACTGATGATGTAGGCTGGTGGCAAGCCTGAGAGATCCTTTCGCCAAAGTGGGGTCAAACGGTTGTCAAGAAACAGGTGCTTATACTTGCTCCACATCTCCTCGCTTCCGACGTCGACAAGGGGGCCTTTGTATGACTCATGCTGCCGAAGCGCCTCCGGCACTAGCCTGTGGTCAAAGAGTTCGGGGTTAGACCGCTTGAAGGCCCACGAGGTATGGTTGTTGCGCAGCATGGCTTCAACAAGGGCATCATCCTGTCTCCCGAGGAGGAGGAACGAGCGGAAGGTGCCTGCGAGATCTCGGGTGACGACGCCGCCATTTGGGCCGAAGTCGGCGCGGTGCTGCTGGTAGGAAGGGGTATGCGTGTCTAGCAACTGCAGGAAGGGGTAGAGGAGGGCCTGCAGCTTGAGGCGGGGGAGGGAGGCGTCGTCTGTTGCCTCCTGGGCCACTGCCGCTGATAGGTGGCCCCCTGCGCTGTCACCAGCCACACCAACACGGCTGGGATCCACCCCAAACTCTGCGGCATTCCTGAGGAAGTATCTCAGGGCCCTCACGCCATCTTCATGTGCCGCAGGAAATGCCTCCTCACTGGCCAAACGATAGCTGCCCAAAACAAAGTTTGATTTTGTGACAAAAAAGTTTCCTTACTCTTAAAATTCATTAATAAAAAGAACCATCATCATCTCATCAGGCAGAAAGACTCGCAATTGCTGCCAGTTCATTGTTTACTAAGGATGATATGATAAGACAAATCATAGCATCAACTTACTCGACTGATGCTACCACAATACCCAATTCCTCAGCTATCGTTCTAGTGAGACTGTTGTACATTTCTGGAGAGAAATCACAACCAACAAGTTGAACCAACCAACTTCTAAACAAGCTGCTGTTGGACACCATTCGCATTTTGCAGGTCTATGGCATCATGGACCCAGTTTAAATACTTGGAACATGCGTGGGCGTAAATCCTGTGTGAGGAAGGAGGGATCTCCCCTCCCTCAGTTTTGGACAGGGTTGATTTAGCTTGAGACTTGACTTAAGACTGTGATTGACCTGCAGGGACTTGTGATGGACACACCTAAACAAGCGGTAGCCCGGGAAACCCTATGCATTGCAAGACACGGTCACATCGCACCAGGCATAAAATGAACTGAACTTGGCTTCACTGGGCAACTTTGCAAGTACATCTTTCACAAAAAAGTTCTTTGACAAAAACTCACACAGAACATGTACATGTAATGTATACGACTGAGAGTGTACGGTACATTACAAAGCCTAGGTAAAACAACTCTTGACAACATACCCGGACTGCCAAGCAAGTAACCACCACCGTGATAAAACACCAACCCTGCGACTGGTGCCCCACCCTTTCTGTCTACTGGCTCGTACAGCCGAACCCTGACCCCGTCAAAGGTCACAACTCTCGACCTGATGTTGGAGCCCTCCACGGTCGACGGCGGTTGTGGGAGCGAAGTGATCAGCTTTTGCATATTTTCCACATCAGTCTTGCCATTAAAGAACCCCATTACAGACCCCTGGGTATTTAGGACATTGAAAAGAGTTTTCTAAGCATTAGTTGGACAATCTGACAGTTCTACAGATTGAAAAATTAGGGCTCTATCAGAACTGTTGATAAGAGTCCAAAGCTTAAGGAAGTGAAGATGAGATACAAAATGAAATAGAACAATGCACAAAACAATCTGCCCAGCATCCCTTCAGTAACTACAGACGTCAGTTGACTTGTCACTGTTTTCACAGAGATATGCACACATATTTTAAAAAAAAACAGGTTTTTTAATTAATTACGAAGATTTCCTCCATTTTATAGCTCAATAAACTGCTACTTTCCACAACTTTATGTACTGAGGAAATTTTTGAATGATTCAGTGAAAGGTAAATGTTTACAGGAACCCAGCTGTTAGAATGAGCACTGGTGAACTAGCCGAAATTAATTAGCAAAAATGCGTGTCGCTTTGGGAAAATGAAAAAACATATTTTCTTACATTCTGGTTCTTCTGTGAAACAAAACAGAGATGTATGTCTCTTTGTGAGAACCAAATCTCTGTTGCCCTACTTTTACAACTTTCTGGGCAGTACATTTTGTACGTGTTCAAGGGGCACGCATGTTTTTGTCTCTTTGTCATATTCGCGAAAGTGCGAAATGCATTTATTGAGATGTCTGCTCATGGTATTGCTAATGTCATTTTGACATTAATATCGTTAATATTGTTTGCTTGTGTGGGCTTGTCAAAACTATCTAAAGTTTAATTTTTTTAAACAAACTAGTGAAAAGAAATCAAAATTTCAAAATGGTCATATTTGGTATTCCCATCTCTCCTTGCAAATTGATGAACTGAATTGTGTCAAAAGAAAAATCTGGTGCCTATATGTATTTGGGCCATCCACACAGGCATGCCATCAAGTTACATGCACTGATGAATGGTGAACATTTATTAAAAAGCTGGGCTTTAAACTGAAATCACGTGGTCTCACTCTGTGGTACAACATGCTAAAGAAAAGTCATCTTTTAAAGTGAGCCGTGACCTCCAAGTTGGTAGGGGAAATACTGAGGACCTGTTCTTTGCCCCTTGGATATTCTGAACAATTTGTTTTTGTGGCTGAAGAATAGTTAAAGTTGGCAGGATATTTTAGCATGTTTTTCTACACTCAAGGCTCCAAACTATCTGGAGTTTGCCCTGCTTGCTAAGATTAAATTTACATCATCCAACCTCTACAACATCTTCATTCATCATCTTCTATCCACCTAGGTTTCTTGAGACTCGAGAGCAACAGTGAGTGCATCGTGTCAGCCACACCGAGAAATCTTTAGTTACAATAAATATCGGCAGTCAATCATAGTAACACGACTTGAAGTTTAAGGAATACCCCCAACTTGCCATAATTAGAGCAACCCTCTGAAAAGCCACAAAGGCTCGGAATTTGAATTTCTCATCAATAGCCTCAGGGACAGGGGTGTACAGCTTGTAGACCGCAAATCCGAGCAGGAGGGTCAAAACGATCCATGTGGAATTCATCCTGGCTGCAGGTCTGCGGGGAACACTTCCGATACCACCTAAAGGGGAAAGAAGTACATGTAAGATAAATGTCTGAGTGATGAAAAATTCTTATCTCTATGCCATATTCACTTTAGTTTGCAGACTGTGACAATCATTTGGAAAATGCAGGTGGGACTCTTTGCATGCATTACAATTAATTGTTTTCAAATCTACATGACATTGGTCAGTTTTACTTTATCGTTAATTCCCTTGTCAATGTGGGAAAGAATTCAATATACAGATGGCACTTATTTTTCCTGTCTGTGCCTTAGCAGTGAAACTATTGAAGTATTCACTTAAAAAACACCAGTCTCATAGGCAATGACCAGGTTTGTGTACAGGGTATCATCAAGCAGCGTCCATATACATGTATTCAAATTTTTTCCTCAAAAGTGATCTTCCACTGGTGTTACTCAGAAAGTTGACCACCATGTGATGACAAGGTGGTCAACTTTTCTTGTAAGTCCCTGATAGATCACAGCCAGGATTTCAGTTGGGAATAATCGGCTGGCAGCTGAATGATCTGTTTTTGCTTGATCCTTCTGTTATCAGTGAGTCATCCTGGTTTCTCCCTATTCCTTGTGAAGCGTCAGTACATTTGTAAACACGTATTTCGATGACTGGTAGCACACTGCAATTGTACGATTGTGCACACTGATTGGTCAATCATGCCATATTACCCCCAAACCTGTGGGGTCCGTTGTCTGTCGCGCGATCGAGAGTGCGGAGGACAATAAACCCCACAGTTCTCAGATTCTGGGGGTAGCCCAATATCACTCTTGGCACACAGGCCACATTCGATGTAGCCTGATGAGTAACCCTAGCCATTCTCACTCAAGTAGGGTAGCATGGGTGGAGTTATTCTAGCTACATGTATTTAGGCAGTAGGCCTAGTGTGAATTACGAGCATGATGACCATCAGAAAACGTTAACCATGCCAGAAGACCGTGAAAAGAAATTTTAACAGATTGCCACAGGCACAGTAAAAAACTCAATTAAAAGAACACAGAAAAACAAGCTCGGTCAGACAGGACACTGTGCTATGGTCAGGAACAACGAAATATCGAAAAAGTAACTAAATGATGTACAATCTACCGTTAAATCAAGCTCCAACCAATGAACCAGTCCAGCCTAGTTGCATGCTCTCTTTCATACGTGTGATTGCATAAACATGATAAAGCTCTGCTCTCGACAGATCAGCTGTTCACCATCAGCTGATAACCACGGCGCCCAGCCCTCTGTTGATAGAGAAGATCGAAACTTGTAACCCGAAAGGTGTAACTTAATTAAATAATTGCACCATCGATTGGCACCAGACTATACGTAGGAAGGAGTAGGTCGTGTCGACTGCTACGCGTACGGTTGGGATCGGAACGCGCAGGTCTATCCGAGTATCCGAATGCATGCGGTGGGCATGACCTGTTTTTCTATGTAGTGATGGTACATGTAGGCCTAGTCAGGATAAACATCACCCTCATGCCACCAAAGTCGGATCCTTGTCAAAAACAGGCGTGCAATATACAGAAATGCTTACAAGGTAAGTGCTTTTAAGCGCCAAGCCAGACCTACATGTAAGCCTTTTTTGCTGATAC